ACTGCATACGCTTCGATATTTTTATGTGAACCATGCTGTGAGTGCGTACGTCGAGGTACCACTGCCCTTCCCAACTCCGTCATGACCAAACGGATGAGTCGTTATTCAATACAAAAAAAAAATCGATCTCGTATCTCCAGATGGGTGGCGCCAATCACGTTGTGATATCGATTGGCTTATGTATCAATATCGTCCTTGTGCGCGTATGAGAGAAAAAGCGTATAACGTATCTTTTAAATTACTTTAAGATCTCCCCCGAGACCAGCCTTAACAAAAAAAGTTTAAAAACAAAATTGATTGCTTAATAAATGAAATGTTGATTTTCAGAACTATGAAAAAGCACTTGAAGCTCTAAAGGAAGCCGTCCGTTGCCTGGCGAAGTGTACTGATACAGAAACTGGTGACTATCCAATTCATTTCCTACGTAATATTTATAACAAAACATGATTACTGAAAATGTGTGTCTTTGTTAATATTCGTGCTGAAAGTACAGTACAATCATTTTTTGGCAGAATATTTTACTGGTCTTGAGAGAAAAGTTCTAAGTCTCAATTGTATGGTATAACGGAAGTTCCGCCCTTTAAACAGACAAAGCCGTCTCTAGTTCATGCAGTCATTACCCTAGGGCCCTCTAGTAAGCGAGCGGTCAAAATGGAATAGGTACAAATTTAACGAGTCCATTGTACCGTTTCGCCCACACCCTTCACTATGAGTAAAACAGCCCCAGCAAACAGTGTGCTTAGTTCGAGTTTTTTAACGTTCTCGATAGCGTAAAAGTTAATCCAACTTTGTATGCGGCTGCAACAGCGCCCCTAGCGGCAAACGTAGGTGAACGACCCCATTCCATACAAATATATGCTAACTTTTACGCTATCGAGAACGTTAAAAAACTCGCACTAAGCACACATAACTTTAAAAATACTGTTCACATTAATTACGCTAAGTTCTGTAAATGTGATTTTAATTACACGATATTACGTTTTCGTTGTAATAATATTTTGTTAAGAAGGTTGGTGGCTGCCTCCGGGATTTCCATCACGGCGCATGCGCGTCGATCTTGTACACAGAGCGTTTTATCTTTTAAAACATAAACGTTTCAGAAATGTTCAAACTTAAAAAATCTTAACAAGTTTATTTAAAATTTAACAGCACTTATATGTTTTAAATTGCAATTTGTTACCGTTAAGGCAGAAAAAAAAACGAAATAAATAATAGTTTTTTGTTAACTCGTATAGATTAGTGTTGTTTTTTAAATTGGAGGACGTTTCTTAATTAATTCTTAATTTTAAATCAAACATTTGTAGGTTCTCAAACGATGGCTCTACAAGAACAGAGTACTCTCGTCAAACGATTTTTGGATGTGAAAAAGATATTTGAGTCTGGAGAAATCAGTGCTGGTTAGTATTTTTCAAACCATATTAAATTAGAATAATACATGTTATATTCATGGTGTATACCAATTGTGCAGGTAAGCGAAGAGAATTGATTGGATTAGTTATCAGATAACATTCCACAATAAATAGCAATAAAATTATGGTTTTTTTTGTAATTTTCTTTGTTTATATTGGGGCCTATTATACGAGCCCCCATTTATTTTTCGTAACATATTTTATATTTTTTTTTATTGCTTAACTGGTACTCCGGTACGGCCCACCTGGTGTTAAGTCTCAATAGTGTAGTATATCGTCTGTCCCACTCATCAAACCGGAACCCAATACTACTCCGCGCCTTACACCAAGCATAATTTTCGAACATACCATAAGTAAGTATGTATTTAATTTAAAAAACCAGCATGCTGATTAAACACTGGCACAGTCGCATCGCGGAGCCATTTTACTTCTAGTAAGCAAGGTGATTACTGCCTTATCACCTTCAATCGAACTTCCTATAATGCCGTAGTATTTTCAAGTGCTGATTAATTCAAAGGCAGAATTACAACATATTCTATAATGATGCTAGAGAATTCGTCGAGATTGGTGACCTTACTGTAAGAAAATTCTACGAAACGTTATAGTAATATTAAGTACAGAGATGACGTATGCTAGGCCTGAATGGAAAAAGAGAATAATATGCTGTGCTGACCCTACATAACGGGATAAGAACAAGAAGAAGAATACAAAACGGTGTTCAAATTTTATAACAATCTTTAGGAATTTATTATTTAATAACCAAATTTTTAGTTACGAAAATGTTATCCCTATCCTTTTAAAAAAATGTATTCGTAAAATTGTTCAAACTCTACAGTGGTAATAATAATAATATGAGAATGATTTTTAAAGGTGTAACGGGTGGTCAACAACTTCTTCGAGCCGTCAGCGGTCGATCCGGTCTCGTGACAGAAGAAAAAGTCCTTCGCTTATTACTTAGACATGCTCCTGATCACGGTGGTAAAATCAACTATTATGTAGTCATTGTTAATGAGGAAGCTTTAAAAATTAATAATAAAAGTATGTACATATCGCTGTAACGCAATCGATTACAGCGATTTAAATAAGGGCTTGGAATAGTTTTAACTGGAATGGTGTAATTCAATTCTAATAAATTACTATTGTATAACCTTTGAATTATAATGAAAATCAAAAATGTTTCAGCTGATATGCAAATAATAAAGTAGGTATAGCACTAACAAAAACAATAATGAACCTTATTTTTCAGATTTCGAGCAAAAACTTAGGGTTATACAGAGAGATTCCACAGATGACGACAGACAAAGTACGGCGTCTCCAAATCAAAGTATCGAAGAAATCGTCTAACTATGGAATTAAAGTTATAGATTTATGAAATTTGCACACGAGTATTACTCACAGTACTTATAATTGCTATTGTGCACGATAGTTTTAAATATCTGGTATCACCTAGATGATGTTGGTATATCAAATATTTTATGTAACTTATTCCGTCCGTTTATTTTTAAGAGTTCAATTAAAGATGTGATAGAGAACCGTACAACTATTATTTCTCCTATTTACCGTGCATACCTACTAGGTAGTGGGCAGCTTCATTGCTTATGACGTCATTTGGCGCCAAAATGTGCAACGTAACCAAATCCACTACCACCACACACTAAACAACGATTAACCACTTAAGACATTGTGTGTTGTAATTAGTGTTTAGCTTGACGAGAAAAAAATTAAATAAAACAATGTTGGGTTTTTATTTAGTTATTTAAAATAATAATTACCCAATAAGTACTGATCTTTTTATTTTTTTTAAGTTGTTTTAATATAATCTGTTCAAAAAGAAAGAAGAAAGAAAATAGTTAAGAAAATAAAAAGAAAAAATACTAGACATAAATATGTATATTGTATTTTTAAAAATGAAGGAAAAAGCAATTTTTTTCATTACTCTTAAATTTCTAGGAAAATGACTAGTCATACTCAAAATAGAAGATTATTTAAGTATCCTAGGTACATCAAGTAATTATGGTATTTTAATGTTTGAATATGGGTATTTTAAAATTTCAAAAATAGCTTAGTGAAATTTAAGTTAAAAATTCTTCTTATTCAGAAGATCTAAAAATCTTATTTATTTTCTTAACATAGTCTTTGGATGTAAATTTGTAATAATGACCGTTTAATATTCGGGCAAGTTACAAATACTTAAAATATATGTAGAAGCTAAATGGCACTGTGGAAAGATTATTTCAAATGGGAATGAAGTAGAGATTATTATGAGATTTCAACTCATTTCAATACGATGTACTTAGTTGTGTCTGCTCCAAATAAATCTATCTCTACAGTACATTAGGTTTATTTTCATTTGCGTATCTATTTTTCACTACTGTATAATGGTAGATTAGCGTTAAAATAACTGCACCTACTCGCTCATTCGCAAGACACGTGCAGTGTAATATTCCCCACATGGAGAGATCCGTAATAATTTGCAAGGGGTAGATCAAAATCTTGGACACAGAGTCTACATCAGAGGCTCCCAGACTTATTTTGTCTACTGCCCACTTTCTGAATATTTTTAGCGCCCCCATTTTTTCACGTACTTAAAAACCACTATAGCGAGAGCTCAGTCGGTGTCTAAGAGTCCTAGATGCGATTACAAATCGCCTCCCAAACCTCTACACAACGCCCCCATTTTTTTCTGGGTCTCTTACCGCCCCCCTTTATGCCCGCAGTGCCCACAAGGGGGCGTTATCCCTTCGGGAAATGCTGGTCTACTGCGATGATTTGGTTAGGAGAGTATAGCAAAAGAGGCATAATGAAACATTGAATTGAAATTTGAGAAAGTGGCGAAAACGACAGAATTAATGCTACCTGAATTGTTTTATTTTGAATATTACCTATTTAATTGAACCAGAAGAAACACGAACATATCAAATTTACAATACGCCATTCCTCGCGTTCCCGCCAAAAAGCCATTCAAATTTTTTTAAATCAACGTCACTTTTTTTGTAGAAATGCTTTAAAGCCAAGGTCTTTAACTTGGTGCCTATTCGGAATGGTAGGTATTATCTAATTTTTCTCTTAGAGTATGTAGTCATTCTTGATATTTGGTCACTGTAAATCTCTAGTTTAGGCAATAGGTTAGGGCTATCTTAGGGCCTTCACCTTTCCAATCTTCGGTCAGGACTTTTAATTTATTTATTACATATTTTGATTTAGGACCGTTATCCAAAAATTACCCGTCGCTTGCGACGAAGGGCTCGACGAGTAAATTAACCCTCAGACACAGCCCACTGAGTTTCTCGCCGGATCTTCTCAGTGGGTCGCGTTTCCGATCCGGTGGTAGATTCTGCGAAGCACGGCTCTTGCTAGGGTTCGTGTTAGCATCGTCGTCAGGTTTGAGCCCCGTGAGCTCACCTACTAGTTAAGGTTCCGCTGAAATAGCCTCTCAAATTAAATAGGTACCTACCATAGAGTTAATAAGTACCTACAACGTACCTACAAAGCTGAATCATTTATGTCACTGTCATATTTCTCTGTCACTGTCATCATACATTCTAACAATTTAAATCAGCCACTGAAGTAGGAAACCTATCTATGAAATCAGCTGATTTTAATTAATGAAGAAAGTAATTGTATAATTTGAATGCAAGTTATCGCTTCATACGTTGGTAACCATTAGAATAATGGTTAAAAATATAAATTTTATAAAATACTTGTATTACAATTCTGTTAAATATCATCAAAGGTAAAATAACATTGGTTTATAGGTTAAAACAAAATGTTTACTCCAAATTTAAATTAAACTTTGCCTTTACCCAGGGTTTTAATGAGACGTATGAGTTCAGACTCAAGGAAATATGTAGATGTGGAAAAAATAAGGAACTTTAGCATTGTAGCTCACGTCGATCATGGCAAGAGCACTTTAGCTGACAGACTTCTTGAGTTAACCGGTGTAAAGAAACCGGGCGATGAACAATCTCAAGTTTTGGACCAACTACAGGTAAAATTTTGTATACAAAATGAATAAATTCAAAATTAACTAACCTGATTTCTAATGAACGAACCTTAAAACTAGAAATGGTCTTAAATTATATATTTTTTGTGAATTTTAAGGTTGAAAAAGAAAGAGGAATTACAGTGAAGGCAGTCACGGCTACTCTAGACTACACATATAACAATGAGACATACCTACTCAATTTAATTGACACTCCTGGACATGTGGATTTCTCCAATGAAGTAATGTTATTAATTTAATAGATACTTAATAAAAAAAGGATTCAAGGCAAATTAAGTGAAAACTATTAGAAGTTAAGAACTGCAACATCTTTTTTATAACAATTTTCTTGAAGTTGGTTTTGTTTTCTTACAATTAATAGAGACTACAAAGTATATAGACGCTTGAAAGGTAAACGTGACTAAGCGACAATGTGTGAACTTTACAGCAGACTAATTTAAAGTTGAAATACCTGAAGAAAATTTTTTTTTTACGAATTTAGCTGTAGTAGAATCTAGCTAGTAGCTGTAGGATTGAAATGATTTTAATAGACCTAGAAATATATTTTTTTTGTGTATAGAATATGGTTATTGCCTATCATTTATGTATAAAGCAGTTATTGTTGCTTAGTCATGTTTGCCTTTCAAGTGTCGATATTATGTTATTAAATATTGGATATGTTAATTTCAACATTTCATTAAGTCACTGGATGAGGGGAGAGAGAATTTATTAGAAATGGACAATAAAAAGAAATTTAAGGCTCCAGATTTAAACAGAAATTTGATGCTCACTTTGTGTTAATTGCAATTTTTACATAACTCTTAATTTCTCTAATATTACTCCATGTGACATACTTGCAAATCATGAAAATTCACTCTATTCTCTTGACACACCCATTTTATTATGGTATGGTGTCAGTCAATTTGTGAACCAGTACCACAAACCACAACCACAGTAATATAGATGTCTGTATCAGCCTTTGAAACTATTCAACAGTCAATTATGGGTAATTCTTTAGATATGTAATGTTGTGATTAGGCTGATTCAAATTGCTTCAAGATATATGCTAGTATATAATTATTTTAGATTGTGAAACCAAATTAAACATCACATAAATGTGTAATATTATATTTTGTAAAAACCTTGTGAACAAGCTAGTATCCTAATTAATATAATATTATAAACTATACTGTAGACAGAAACCTTATGCTTTGATCATATTGTCATTGTCACATTTGTTCTACTCCATTGGAATTTTATACTATAATATTCGGTTTCATTATAGGTAGTGAGAAGTGTAACAGCATGTCAAGGAGTCATTATGCTGGTGGATGCTAATGAAGGTATTCAAGCACAAACAGTAGCTGTTCATTCATTAGCTAAGAGAAACAATTTAGTAATAATACCAACACTAAACAAAGTGGATCTTCCAAGAGCTAACCCTGACAAAGTGAAAGAACAGTTACAATCAGTTTTCAAAATAGACCCTAATACAGTTTTAAGCATATCAGCAAAAAAAGGTTGGGGTGTGCGAGAGCTACTAGAAGCTGTAATAATGAGGATCCCACCACCAAAAGTTGTCTTAGATGATCATTTCAGTGCTCACATAATAGACACATGGCATGATAAATATAGAGGGGTTTTGTGTTTGGCATATATTACTTCAGGGACAGTTAAAGTTGGACAAGCAGTGAAATGGCAATCTGATTCGAAATTACAAACAGTGAAGCACTTGGCACTGTTGAGACCTACTGAGGAGCCCATTGATGAAGCTATTGCAGGTCAAGTTGTAATGGTAGGTAAGTATTTTTTTAAATTCTGCTAAGTTAGAGGATCATAATGAAAGGTCTCATATTCAAACTACTTCCCTTCATCACTACATAGTAGTAGTAGAAGATTAAGTAATATTGAATAAAAATTTAAGCAGGACACATGTTTAGAATAGGCCCATCAGCAATAAAGTTGGCGATTGCAATACATTGTTATTGTACTTTGAGAATGTTGCTGCACAATCTCTGATGAATGCTTTAATCGCCTCATAAGTCAACCATAGGGGTTTGGGTACCATTGGGTAGTGCTATTTTAGACACAATACCACACAATTAACCTATATTAGTATAATTTTTTTCTCATAAATTCACACTTACGAGGTCTGCACTAAAAGTATCGGGAATGGAATATTTCCACTGTTCCTGTCATATTAAAATCTTTTTAATTGAAAACTCCTTGGTTTTAAAAATCGAATACCATTTATTTATTTAAAAAAAGATTCTCGGTCTTGTCACGAGGTTTTGTCAAACTTGTTTAGTCGTTGAGAAAATGGAATTGACTCGAGAAAATTCCAGAGCGATGATTTATTATGACTTTCGAAGTGGTTTAACACAAAAACAGTGTGTTGACCGGATGATTTCTGCATTTGGTGATGAAGCCCCATCCAAAACCACAATTTATCGCTGGTTTGCTGAGTTTCAACGTGGACGTGTCAAGCTCAGTCATGATCCCCGTCAAGGTTGTCCAAAAACTGCAGTCACCCAAGAAAACGTTGATGCTGTGCGTAAGTTGATTGAGGAAGATCGACATGTGACATACCGCGAAATTCAGGCAACTTTAGACATTGGCATGAGTCAAATACAAATAATCTTGCATGAACAATTAGGTGTAAAAAAGTTGTTTTCCCGATGGGTACCGCATTCGCTCTGTGAAGAGCAAAAAGCGGCTCGCGTTACTTGGTGCGTCAGAACTCTCGAAAGATTCCACGCAGGATCCTCAAATGCTGTATACAACATTGTATCAGGTGACGAATCCTGCATATAAGCGTACGAACCCGAAACAAAAAACCAGTCACGAGTTTGGGTGTTCGAAAATGAGTTAAAGCCAACAAAAATTGTTCGTTCACGGAGTGTTGCAAAAAAAAATGGTGGCCACGTTTGTCTCCAAAACCGGCCATGTTACGACTATTCCTCTTGAGGGACAAAGAACGGTTAATGCAGAATGGTATGCTAGCATTTGTTTGNGTACGAACCCGAAACAAAAAACCAGTCACGAGTTTGGGTGTTCGAAAATGAGTTAAAGCCAACAAAAATTGTTCGTTCACGGAGTGTTGCAAAAAAAAATGGTGGCCACGTTTGTCTCCAAAACCGGCCATGTTACGACTATTCCTCTTGAGGGACAAAGAACGGTTAATGCAGAATGGTATGCTAGCATTTGTTTGCCACAGGTCGTTGTTTCTGAACTTCGTAAAGAGATCTGCAACCGCCGCATCATCCTCCATCACGACAATGCGAGTTCTCACACCGCGCACAGAACAAAAGAGTTTTTAGAGCAAGAAAACATAGAATTATTAGACCATCCGCCGTACAGCCCCGACCTGAGCCCTAATGATTTCTATACTTTCCTTAAAATAAAGAATAAATTGCGTGGACAGAGATTTTCATCACCTGAAGAAGCTGTGGACGCCTACAAAACGGCCATTTTGGAGACCCCAACTTCCGAATGGAATGGTTACTTCAATGATTGGTTCCATCGTATGGAAAAATGTGTCAAATTTCGCGGAGAATACTTCGAAAAGCAATAAATACATTTTTAAATAGTAATGTTGTGTCACTTCGTTAATTCCCGAAATTTTCAGTGCCGCCTAGGTAATGCAAACCACAATGTGTGACATTTTATGTAATTAATCGTTGTGTAAGTATTTATTCGGTTAGGTTTACGATTTAACGTTAGTTTGTCGCTTGTTTTTTACGTCAGCAGGGAAACTTTAAAAAAAAAATGTCCGATTCCCTGGTTAAGAATTGGGATCCTTGTTCTTTTATAAGCATTAGAAGAGAACGCAGTGACGCGGGTACCATCGTCTTGTCCAATTCAATCCAAAAAAAACCTAACCTAGTTGAATAGGTACCTACTGAATAGTAATGTATACTAAAAATATGAACTACAAATTCAATGACATTTGTCTCAAAGTCAGCAGCGGTGTTGATGTTGTTTATAAACTAAAAACATTTTAGAACCAATATATAATTATAATTTAGTACCTACGTACACAAATATAGGACCTTATTCAGGTCAGTAATTAAACAATAAAAAAATATTTACATTTTTAGGTTGTGGACCAAAAGGCGGTGGTTCTGTTGGGGATCAATTAGTAGCTAAAGAATTAGCTAATGCTAGTGAAAGACTATCTGCACCTGCAGTGAAGCACATGGTCTACGCTGGTATATTTCCTGCAGACCAATCACAGCATATATTACTGAGTGATGCAATCAAGAAATTAGCTTTAAATGATTCGGCTGTTTCAGTTACGATAGATTCAAGGTAACTTCAATTTTAGTATGTTTGAATTAAGAAAATAGTGATTCATCATTGTCTGCCGGCCTAGCCACGCCTCCAGACAAAAAATGTCACGTTCAATTAAGCCCATGCTTAAAAGCTAAGTTGGTTGTGTTCTTTCTGTATTACCTACTGAGCCAATTTCTACATATTTTCCTTCATTTCATTCTACATTCAATGGATCGAGAATTAAACAGAGTGAAGATAGGCAGACATAAAAAACAAGTTTATTTTATAGTTAGTAATAATGAATAAGATAATTTTAAAGAAAATTGCTCTGTGAATGAACTTTTACACTCATTGGCTCCGACCTCGACGGGGCAACGCCAAGCCGCCGTCGGCCCGAAACACGTCTTGTGGGATCGCCCGAATTCACTCTCGGTGCAAGCACCGGTCACCGTCCTCGTCGTCATAATCGTCGAGTTCGACCCTAACCCTTAAATACTGCCCAGTGACACGTCATTTCGGATCCTCCCGATCCACTAACAGTGCTTCTAGGTATCCCAAGCACCGGTCATCGTTCTCGTCGAACCTGTCGCTTGCGACGAAGGGCTCGGCGAGTAAATTAACCCACAGACAGCCCACTGCGTTTCTCGCCGGATCTTCTCAGTGGGTCGCGATTCGGATCTGGTGGTAGATTCTCCGAAGCACTGCTCTTTCTAGGGTTCGTGTTAGCAACAACGTCAGGTTTGAGCCCTGTGAGCTCACCTACCCGTCCAAGCGTAGCTGGAATAGCCTCTTAGGCTACCAGCAAATAAGTAGGGGAAAAAAACACTCATTGGCACTGATGACCGCGAATGGACTAGTTTTTTCAATTGTTTATACCTATATAATAACAGTAGCGTCGTGTTACGGTTAATGTGATGTCTCATATTCCGAAATGGGGTTTGACAAAAAGATTGGTTTAATAAAATACAACTTAATAGTTTCTGTGTGTAATCTCAATAACATCCTGGTTTCAAAAAAGCGGTATCCCGCTGTCTTGATGGCCGTTGTTACAATAGCTATCCTTTGTTTCAAATTAAAATGCATGCTTTGCGTTAGTAACAGGCAGGATGGCACCTACCCGTGGGGAATTACAACACGCCCACTAAAAATAGTTTTTAATCGCTTTAAAAATCATATTTATAAAAAAATTAATATACGGAGAATGGTGAGACAGTTGTTAAACATAAAACTTTCGACCTCATGCCTAGGAGTGGATGACTGCATTCATTTTGTGACATCTGTGGGATTCCATCAGCAATTCACACCGGATGGGGCGTAAGTTCGACCACAACTCTAGTGTAATAAATATAATTATTTGTTACCAGTCCAGCTCTAGGTCAGGGATGGCGTATTGGATTTCTGGGCTTGTTGCACTTAGATGTTTTTACACAACGTTTATTGCAAGAACACAAAGCCGAGGCAATTCTCACAGCACCTTCAGTGCCCTATAAAGTTAAGTATGTTTCATTGAATTAACATTTTTTTAGTATTACTTGCTGACCCAGCACCTTGAGGACGCAATGTGCGGTTTTTTCAATATACTGGAATCAGTAATTATGTAAATTACATCATTTACGGGTTTGATTTTTATTACATAGGTACACAATGTTATACCTTCCACGCCAAAGGCATGAACATTAGTCAACTATGTATTTCATTAAACAAAATGGCCTGCCTTATACTTAGGCCATTACGATTTCTGATTTTCTGATAAATTTTAATTGAAAATACTAATTTGCTATTATTGAAATTTGCCTAGCGTTATTTGAGCCCTTAAACTTTTTTACATGATTGAATAACATTCAAATTTTAAGACTGTAAAGTAATTAAAATTAAAAATATTTCAAAAGAACACGTCACACAGAACGATGTTTTTTTTCGCTTAAAGACAGAATTAATACCTAAATTGAGTAATTTGTCTCAAAAAATGTCGAAATAATATTTAAATTATATTTTTACACAGAATAAAAGGAGCCAAACTTATAAAACATTACAAGACTGATGAAATTTTAATCACAAATCCTTTACAATTACCGGACCCAAACAATGTAGTAGAATATTTCGAACCATTTGTTAAAGGTATTTATCACAACATTCTTTTGAACAAAAAATAATATTTAACTAAAGATATTAACTTGTTATTTTTAGTATAATTTTATAACCTTTTTTTTATTGCTTAGACCGGCAAACGAGCTTACGGCCTATCTACTGTTAAGTGGTTACAGGAGCCAATAGACATCAGCAACGTTATTGCCGCCATCCACCCTTAGACATGAGTTTAAAGTTTAAGTTTTATAGTACAATCTCTACCCCACCATTCCAACCGTAACACATTGGGACGTTGATTCTCATGTCGAGAACACATTTCACGTTTTATACTCAATGACGAATGAAAAGCATTTAGCCAGTGAACCAAGGTAACAAACATGCTGGAGGTCCTAAAAGGCAACCAATCGATTCACCGGATAATACACACTGCTTTTGTGGGCCCACGGGCGTTGCCGCGATCCAGCCTGTCTCTGTCGCAAAGTGCAGTCATGCTAAAAGCTGGTGACGGCATTTTCGTTGTATTGCCATCGGTCTCAACTTAATATCTTGGGCTGATATTTCGCCTACACGTCGAAAACAAAAAACATATAATGCATTTAAGTTTTTCAGATTTTATTATTTTATTGCGCAGATGCGTGGACGAGCTCACAGCCTACCTGGTGTTAAGTGGTTACTGGAACCCATAGACATCTACAACATAAATGCGCCACCCACCTTTATATATAAGTTCTAAGGTCTCCAGTATAGATACAACGGCTGCCCCACCCTTGACTGAATATTTTTATTTTTTTGCTTAGATGGGTGTCCGAGCTTTCGGCCCACCCACGGAGTTAAGCTGTTACCGGGGCCCATAGAAACCTACAATGTAAATTCCGCCACCCACCTTAAGACATCTCAGTTTGAACAGTCCAACGGTTGCCCCACCTTTCAAACCGAAACGCATTACTGCTTCACGACAGAAATACGCATGCAGGTGGTACCTACCTGTGCGGACTCACAAGACGTCCCACCACCAGTAAAATAATAAAATAAATGACATATTCCTAATTTAATCGAAACTTTTAGGTACAATAATTACACCTGTAGAATACATAGGCGCGGTGACATCCCTGTGCATAGACAGACGGGGCACACCCCTACCGTCCAGCGCAGTCGACGACACGATGACCATGTTACAGTTTATCCTACCGCTATCCGAAATCGTCGTCGATTTTCACGATACATTAAAAAGCATAACTTCAGGATTCGCTAGCTTTGATTATGAAGATGACGGCTTTCACTCCAGCTCTTTGGTCCGGGTACGTGTGTTTCGTCTACTTTATTTAATTTACTATCTCGTATGTTACATTATTAATTGAACTCTTGCATTGCAGATGGATATATTAATCAATGGCATGCTTGTTGATGAATTATCAACAATAGTGCACGCTAGTCGACTAGAGTATAATGCGCGGAGATTAGCTGAGAAATTAAAAGAAATGATCCCTAGGCAAATGGTGCAGGTAATTTAAGACACCAATAAAACTCATTAAAAAATTTAAATATTTTTGTAGAACTTTTTTATGAAGGTTATACGAGTATAGGTACTATTATTATTTATTACTGGTGGTACGACCTCTTGTGAGTCCGCGCGGGTAGGTACCCCCATCCTGCCTATTTCTGCCGTGAAGCAGTAATGCGTTTCGGTTTGAAGAATGGGGCAGCCGTTGTAACTATACTGAGACCTTAGAACTCATATCTCAAGGTGGGTAGCGCATTGACGGTTTTAGATGTCTATGGGCTCCAGTAACCACTTTACACCAGGTGGGCTGTGAGCTCGTCCACCCATCTGAGCAATAAAAAATATATATATTATATTATTTCCCGACTCGCTTGTTTCCGTCTTCTGCTCGTAAACGTAAACTAAAGTGCTCGTTTTTTAACGTTGTCGATAGCGTAAAAGTGGAACAGCGCCCCTAGCGGCAAACGTAGGCAAACTTTTCAACTCCACACAAATTTTGGTTAACTTAAAATAAAAAACTCGCACTGAGCACACTAGTGTGCACCTACCGGTATGTGTGTGGTGATTTGGGCGACGTTGGATGCGACGCCCGGGGCATGCTACCAATGCATTATGAGCTGCTTTAGCGTTGTACGTTGAAGGTGTTACTTCGGATGTTGCAAACCATTATATTTTCATTTCGACATTCCGATCCTGATATGGGTGGTGTTCACATAAAAGATCACGAAATTGCAAAATTTGTCGCTCGTTCCCTAGGTCCCAAGATGTAAACCTTGATGGTCAATGATTCTTTGTTTACCGTTAACTCCACGTAACTCTTCATACTTCTCCCGATAATGTAGGGGATACGTATAATGAATGACACTGGCAGCTCAACACAAAAATTTAAAGCAAAGGAAAGCTAAATTTAAATTTCATTCAAAAATCTATGGCAATGATTGTGTGTATACGAATTCTTTTGTACCTAACTTTACGTTAAACATTCGAAAACTTACAAACTCTGCATTGATAAAATGGAAATTTGATTTAAAACAATTAAGAACCGTAAGCTTATTATTTTATTGTAGGTTGCCATACAAGCAGTAGTGGGGGGAAAAGTATTGGCACGAGAAACCATAAAAGCCTACAGAAAAGACGTCACCGCTAAATTGGTAATTTTTTTTTACTAGTATCGATTCAAATTTGCAAAATGTAACACTCTTTAATAAATTAATTGACAATCACGTTCATTCTTAGCGTATGAAATCGAGATATGATTTAAAAGAATTTAAAAACATCCTTTGGTAGTAAACCTAATTAAATTTTTAATAATTATCTTCATATCTAATCATCGCCAGTACATTAGGTCAAACTAACGAAATTATTACGTTGATGGTATTATATATGACAGAAACCTATCCCACAACGCCAACAACTGTATCGCGTTCCATCACACTCAAATTGATGATTCACGAAAGCACACTGGATAAACAATAATCGTTATTTATATTGATTACAAATTAATACGAACTAATTATTTCGACAGTACGGCGGCGACGTTACTCGAAGAAAGAAATTATTAAAGCAACAAGCCGAGGGTAAGAAAAAAATGCGCAGCGTTGCGAACATCAAAATTCCGAGAGATACGTTTATAGACGTGTTGAAAAAATAGAAATAAAATTCTCATTCAAATAATTGGCCTGTATGATTCCGAATAAATACAAATTAATTTACGATTTACCGACGGAACGTTTTAAGTATTCGTTAGGTACCTAATTAAAATTTAATCCGATAACTTTAACAATCCCGTTATCTTAATATCACAAATAAAAGTTTTATATTCTCTTAGGTGCAATTATATAGTACTTACCATTTTTTTCTTACCTAAGCTGATAGCCTCGAGAGGCTATTTTAGCGTTACCTTAACTAGTAGGTGAGCTCACGGGGCTCAACCTGACGACGTTACTAACGCGAACCCTAGCAAGAGCCGTGCTTCGCAGTATCTACCACCGGATCGGAAACGCGACCCACTGAGAATATCCGGCGAGAAACTCAGTGGGCTATGTCTATGGGTTAATTCGCTCGTCGAGCCCTTCGTCGCAAGCGACGGGTTCGACGAGGATGGTGACCGGTGAAGTACCTATAGAGTTAGTATAATTAAAAGATGGTGTTTTTAAAATTGCGTTAAGTGGATCATCGATGTGGTTTATCTATTTCTTGTTTTTCCAGGCCGGGAGCCGAACTAAACGGCTCCCGTGCCCAATGTTGCGGGTGGATATTAAGGACTCTGTGGCCGAAGATGGTAGAGACCCACCCATTAGGCTGCCCGTCCACCGGAGCGGTGCGAAGCAGCGGAGCGGAGAAACGGAGAAATATTAAACAATAAGATTGCATAAAATCATTTTACAATCTTATGATGTTGATTTTGTGCAATCTTATTGGATACTCCGTTTCTACGCTCCGCTGTCTCACACCACTCCGGTAGACAGTCAGCCTTAAATGACTAACGACTCCCCTTCACAATCATCCGACGTCCGATACAATACATGCTAAGAGGACAGGTTGATTTCTGTAGTCAATTCTAAACCAAACTCGCAACTCATCGGGCAGGCTCGGCCGGCCAGGTCGTCGAGACTATAGTCCAGAGTTCCCCAAACTTTTTTGTGTCGTAGACCCCTTGCCATGTTTTTCCGTGTTGGGTAGACCCCCTACTTACCTGATATTGATTTCCTGTGAATTTCTAACTGTAGTAAAGTTTAGTGTTAAAAACTTAAAGTAAAAACACATGTTAATTTATACATTTATTAATTGAATTTAAACTAAAACTACTCAAAATAAAATTTTGTATCTGTTATGTAAAATATACGTAACATAAAATAAACTATAAATAAAATAACATAAGCAATAAGTCAATATTTTTAGTAATAAATTTTTTTAAAAACTTTAATAATAAATTATCAACATTTGGCGTTAATTTTGTAAGGGTTAACCTTAAATCTCCTTCGCTAATGATGTCTTGATATTATAAGATAGTATGATGTAAGTAAATAGGTACTATCAGTGTATGTGTTGAGATCCACTATCGTGGACCCCCAAATTTTTTTTCGCTGATATAGACCCCATTCAGGTTGTTGTTGACCCCTAGGGGTCGATATAGACCACTTTGGGAAACACTGCTATAGTCGATAACTCTCCGTCAGTCATATTACCGCTGGTTGCCGAATACCCCGTTGAACCGGAAACAGTCTGCCGAGTCGGAAGCGCGATACACCTGTGTAGTATGGCTGTAAATCCGTACTCTTTGCCGTTGCAGTATGTAAGCGTTGACACGACATCGATGTTACTCAACATGGCTAAATATGTCAACGTACCGTGGATTGGGGGAATCGGGACCCTTTCCAAATCCAACACAAATTTTCAATGGTTTTTCTTAATACAAATAAAATTGAGATTAAAATGGTTCCAGAGGCTTTTTATATACGATGCGTTATTATACATAGTTCATTCCAAAATATACACAAAAACTGAAAAAACTAGCTTGACCCGATTCACCTTGGCTTTGAGGTGAATCAGGTTACGTATGGGGACAGTAGAGGTTTTCGATAGGGCTGGCACTATTTAGTTGTTAGGTAGGTACCTAACTTTAAGTAATTAACTTTTTAATAATTTTAATGAGTTACAAAACTTTGAACACTAAAGTAATTTTCAGTTCAACAAAGTTAAATCTAACAACTCAACAAAAGTATTGTGACATTTCAGATTTGAACCTATTCTAAAACTAGTCTCTATTCCCCCTAATCTACTGTAACGAATTTGCAATGTAAATATTTATTACCCGCGTCTTCACATAGTTATTAGAGATACGTAAAATTAGACTGGATATACAATTTAAAGAATCATTTGAAAATATAATATCTAATTTATTTGAAAAATCTTATTACAATAAAGACACTGCATGGTAAACGTACATCACATAATATTAATAGTCATACAAGAAATCAATATCTACGTTTAACTCACTAAACACATAATATGAAAAAAAAAAAGGTGATATAAGGTTTATTATAAAAATCTGTAGATAAGATCAATAACTTCCATACTTCATTCATTGAACTATTGTTTGGTATTCTTAGTTTCAATGAAAAGGTATTGTTTAATAAAACGAAAAATTTTCTAATACATTACACAAATTACAAACATTTCTTCATTATCAAATAATTTATTCCATTGCTGTCGTTGGACATATGAGTTCAAGACCTAATGTTAGGTGGTTACCGGAATCCAAGGTAAAGTTAATTTCCCCATCTATCTTAACAAATTTAATTTGCCATATTGCCCATGCGAGAGATACAAATTCGCCTCGCCTGCTTCTATAACATTTAAACTAGTATAACAATACAATATTTTAAGGATAGGGATTATTTTACTTTTACTTACTTAACACCAAGTGAACTGTAAGAAAACCTAACTGGCCAGCACATCCAAAATATAAAATACGTTTATATACGCATTAACACTGCGATGGTCGACTGTTGTAGAACTTATCTACACATTTTATATATCATTAATATAATTACATCATAAACATTAATATAATTACATCATAAACATTAATATAATTACACAATTATTTTAAGTAATCTACGACATGTTCCCTTCTGGTTGATTATAATTTCTAAATTTTTAACTAATAATGCTCGATGTAATTAATTAATTAAAATATAGATAAAACGCAGAGTCGGTGCTCAGCAGTAAAATTTAATTTTGAATTGAGATCACAAAGGCATAAATTTAGAGCAATTTTTACTATATTACCTACTTTTATGATCAACTGCAGAAATAAATGATATTCTTTGGTAATTATTTTAACAATTTCTGTTTCGTTTCCTTCTATGATTATAGACACAAATAAGTGCTTATTTAGAACAATATTTTTTCAAATGTAAAGTTCGTGATTTTTATTTATTTTTGTTTTGTAAGCCACAAGTTTTGTCATTGTTAGAACCCAACTTAGTCTTTGTCTTGTTGATGATCTCAATAATTTTAGTTAATATATTAGACTGAAATTGTCTTTTCAATCACGTCGTGTTTACATGAAATATATGGTCTTAAATAAAACATTTGGAATGCTGTTACAAGACTTCATCTATTTTTCTGCTAATGTTAACTTTGATTTGCTGTGTGAGTGTTCTGCATGTGTGAATGAACTTCATCTAGTATTGGTCTGAGCCGATAGAATTATGGTTAGAGGATCCTACAATAACAGGTATTTCCGGCAAATATTCATTATGGGATATATCTCAGCATCCCTAGTAAATTCTACTAAATTTCTTTAAGTTGATCCTAATATTTTCTTAATTATGTTTGAAGTTGGACATACTGTGAGTGCTGCACACAGGTGACCATGACCAATACCTGTCGTGAATATTTTTTCCCCGTTTTGAACAGTAGGATAGGAATAGAATAGGATCCTACAGTCGGATAGGTGGTCAAAGTCGTGACCGTAATAGTAAGTACTGAAATAGTTCAGTTATTAGGATATTATTAAATAAAATTAAGTTATTCTAAATAGTTCTTCTCACAATAGTAATATTGAAATGTAAGCTGTTTGAGCTATTGTAACAACTACCTAAACCATGAAAATAGGCCTTTAGCACATTTTGGATAGGTCACACATTAAATAAACTTGATATGATTCTGGTTACATTTAAATCAAATGTAGATATACAAATTTTTAGATCTAAATTCAGAATGTGGATGTCTGAATCATCCTTTTATTAAAATTTTCAATAGCAATGTAATATACTTAATTTAAATAACAATTTCAACAGAATTCATTAAAAAATTTGTACTATTCAAAATTTAGCATATCTAGATCAAGCAGACAATGTGCTATTAATAGCAAGTTGCACATCATGAATCAATAAAAAGTGACTAATATTATAATGCATTAAAAATCAATTGTGAGTCAAAAAGTAAAATGGAGTAAATTGAAAACAAACTTTGCGATTCGTTAATATTTCAACACCAATATAATTATTTTCGCGTGGGAATAAACCCAACAATTAAAAACTAGTCTAATGTAAAAAAATAGGAAACAATCTTACTAGCACAGCATTCATCAATCCCCTATATTCTCAAGATATAATTAATGATTTTTATTAAAATATTTATCTATCTTCAGAAGTCTCCAAAAACTGANGAAAACAAACTTTGCGATTCGTTAATATTTCAACACCAATATAATTATTTTCGCGTGGGAATAAACCCAACAATTAAAAACTAGTCTAATGTAAAAAAATAGGAAACAATCTTACTAGCACAGCATTCATCAATCCCCTATATTCTCAAGATATAATTAATGATTTTTATTAAAATATTTATCTATCTTCAGAAGTCTCCAAAAACTGATCATAAACATCTCTGGTGCATTCCCCCTTTTCATTGAATTTGTATTTGTAGTAAGAGCCGTCAGCACAAACCACTGAAATTTAGTGCATAATGACATACCAAAATAATGAACGTTTTAATTGTATAATTTATATAATAATATAATATTTATTGTACCCCAACAATGTTTTTGTAGGGATTCAAAATAATTATATTCATAGCAATCCATCTCACTATTTCTGTCAAAAATGAAATAATTACTTAAAAATAATAATTTGTTAGGGACGTCGAATAAATTATTAATAAATTATGTTTAATAATCTGTACTGGTTAAAACAAGCATAAGAACACACCGTGAAAAAGATAAAAAAAAAATAACTTAAATAAAGTGTTTAAAAACTGGCTCCTTTTTCCGTTAAGAAAATTCACCTTCTACATAGAAAACACATGCATATTTATTTTATGGAATATTAAGATGAAATATTTTTATTCAGATTCATTTTAAGTGATTTTAGAGAGGGAGTCCAAGGAATGACGTTTGTAATTAAATAAATGTTCTGAAGGTTTTTGAAGTTATACTTCTATAGGCGCGTTATGAAAAATTGATGAGAGTGAAATTTTACGATGCGCGCGCACAGTGACACAAAATTAACAGAAATGAAGGTGCCCACTAAATCGTTCATTACAATACGACCGACGTAGCTTGGCGAGTCTGAATATTTATTATTAATTAATTAATATTAAAAAAAGAAAAGAAATTAATTTAATAAAAATAAAGTATAACTTCTTACGCGCGTACATAAGTACACGCACCCTTTTTTTATCACACGGTCTCTTGATAAGTATAAAATTGAAATCACTTTCAAGTGAGTGATTCAAATGGTGCGGCGCACCTACCTTGAGGTGCGTTGCGGTAGTGTGTTACAGACTTTAAGAGTCAGCAACACAATTAAAATAGATTGTAATAGAGAGTTTATAAAGTTGTCGTTTGACAACTTTTATACTTACCAATAATAGAACTCTTGTCAACACCAAACGCACAAATGCAGGGAGGGCCATTTGGTATTGTGAATTTGCAAAAACTCCAATTGCTTGAGAAGTATTTAGGCAAAAAGTTAACAGTGGCCAAAGTGGACTGTTTGTTGAGTTTCTCATCTTCTAAACTGAATACATGAACAGTTCCATGATCTGAGGTCACACAAAGATTTGTACTTGTGTGGTTAAAATTAATGCAGTATATAGTTGCCTGAAAACATTTTCAACAATTATTATGATAAGAAAATTATTATACTTAAAAATTTTTATGCTGTAAACAACTTAAGTTTAAACAATAATATATTTAATTTTTTAGAAAGTAAATAATTCAAATACATAGTTAATTCTCCTAATGTTTATTTCATTGATCCACTGAACACTTTCACTTAACAATGACACAGTTTTTGCACAAGAAACACAAAACAAACTATGCGGGGTCATGGACTAGTTTTTCTTTCATTAAAATTAACTTTTACCTGATGAGCTCCTCTTCGCAATTCAGCCAATTTCTGTCCTGTTGATGTATCAAAAACCCTTATTAGGGTTCCTTTAGTCGAAGCAGTGGCTAGTCTGGTACCTCCAACATTAAGTGCCAAACAACATAGAGGGGCCTCATGTGCTGCTATTAGATGACTTTCTGGGGCTGTGCTTGGCCCTGCATGACTACTTAACTCTACTAACTGAAAAAGGGTGAAGTTTAGAAAGCAATATTAATGATAATGTAATAGTAACTACAACTAATATGGCATAGTTATTAAGAAATGATATATTTAAAGCATTGTACTACATTTTTTGTTATTAAAAAAGGTATATACATAAATTGATAAAATTTGTTACCTGCACATGACCAGTTTTTCGGCTGGGATAGGCAAGAAGAGCATTATTACTGTTAGGACATACTACGCACAACCCTTTTGTGTTTTGACAAGTTTCAAACACATGGAGCAATTGGGGCTGAGCCGTAAAAGTATACACTTTTATCAATTGTTCTGGAAAAAGTTATTTATTATTTTATTTTTAACTTCAAATAAGGCAATGACTCTCTTTACTATGTTCTCTAGTAAGAGCATTAAGCAACAAGTTGTTGAGTGCAAAATGTGCTTTTCTTAGTGGTAGCTGTTAACATTCACCAGTTTATAGTATCATTGTTATCAATATCTATAATTTTTCTACCATGTTTTGACTATCAACATCAACCAAAGTTTTCAAAATTCTAATCTATTAAAATTAAACATAGTAGTGTTTCAATACGAAGGTTTTACCTAGAACAACAACAATACGGTCTCTCCGCAATTTCACAGCTTTCACAGGGCTGTTGAAGTCAAGCGATATGGCGGAATCTTTCTTTAGATCATCCCAAATAATAACTTTGTTCGGAGGATAGACCGGTGTTTTACCACCTCCCACCAAAGCCATATAATTACACCGGAATAACATTTCCACGTACGAAAGACCGCCAACAGCAAAGTTCTGCCGTTCTTTCTCTTGTACGGGGTCACTATTGAAGACACGGAAACCATTTTCCGTTCCACAAGCGAAACAACCTGTACATTCAAAAAGCGATTATTAAAAAACAAATAACAATATTTCCTCAACAATGAAAGCAAAAGAAATAAGTTACTCATTTTTTATAATTGCGTTTATACCTTGATCTTGGTTAAAGCCCACGTACAAAAGCCCGTTACCAAATGGATTTTCTTCAGACAAGTTCATTTTTTACACTAATCAGGATATAAGATTGTGAATTTAATTGTACATAATATTAGGTATTTTGCAATTTGTGAAAGAATCAAACTAATTTACAAAAACAAATCAACCAGTGTTGCCATTTGCCAATGTCAATCATAATGTCAATTTTCTCAATTCTCTGGAAGTCTTAAAATTATGCTCAAATATTTATTATAAATAATTCTACTGTACGTATTTAAGCCACTGAACTCCTCCTAAGCGGCTGTCCCATTTGAAATAATTTTTGAAGTGAAACTTCTTTAGGCGCATGGAGGTAAAATTTTTACAGAACGTCACGTAGGTATGCAACGGAAGTGACATCAAACTACTATTGAAATTAAGTACCGTAAAATGGGGCGATTAGGGATTGAGAGGCGAATTGGGAAAAAAACAGGAAACTCTTTCGACGCTCAATATTAGTTTTATATTCATTGCAAAATCTTCCATTTTTTGTAGTTTAATAGTAGAATGTTGAAAGTTCACAAAACAACTCTGAATATGCATGATAATAGCTGCTAACTTATAAAAAATCGCGTTTCAAATTAACTTTCTGTGGTGGTAATTATTTCAGTGCTAGAAACTTTGCTCANTGGGAAAAAAACAGGAAACTCTTTCGACGCTCAATATTAGTTTTATATTCATTGCAAAATCTTCCATTTTTTGTAGTTTAATAGTAGAATGTTGAAAGTTCACAAAACAACTCTGAATATGCATGATAATAGCTGCTAACTTATAAAAAATCGCGTTTCAAATTAACTTTCTGTGGTGGTAATTATTTCAGTGCTAGAAACTTTGCTCACTTTTATTTATTTGATAATAATAGAAGACGACTTTGATTTATAAACGTTATTTAGTGTTTGAACCATCATATATATTAAAGGTAAGTCTCAGTTATTATTGGATTTAATGTATTTGATAAAATAAAAATACATGTAAAAATCTGTTGTTTTTGGGGATATTGGGGACGTCTTAGGTACAAATAACAACGAAATAGGGGTCAATTGGGATGAGAATAAGAGAAACGGAAACGACCTAAGTACAAATAGGTACAGGTTTGTAGGGTTGTCTATGTAGTTAAAACAATATTTTTTTAATTTGTTGGTAAAAATCTGGTTTATTCATGATGTTTTTGTCTAGAACTTTTATTCAAAATTATCAATGTGTTGTTTTATTATTTGGTAAATATTTATATTATCAGTTACGTATTCTTTTCTATTTTTAGATATGCCTCGCGTGTACGTATTAAAGAGTGCCAAACCTTATAAGAGATATGATCCCTTAATATTATGTCCTTCTTCAAACGAGGCTTGTGGAGAGTATTAAACGGTAGGCAGCGGCTTGGCTCTGCCCCTGGCATTGCTGAAGTCCATGGGCGACGGTAACCACTCACCATCAGGTGGGCCGTATGCTCGTCTGCCTACAAGGGCAATAAATTAGATATACTCTATAGAGTATATCTAATTTAAAACGCACTTGTTAACAAAACGCTAGTAAATACGGCCATTGCCAGCTGACTGACAAAACCGGCGCATGCGCAATGTAGGCGTGAGGTGATGGTTTGCTTATTAGATATAAAATAATTAATAATTGGGAATTTAATTGTTTTTATGATCGAACAATTACCAATAGTCGTTGAACAAACGATAATTGATAAAAACTAACTAATCTGAGCGATAAAAATAAAGATATCCAGTAAGAGGGGCCAACTTAAGGGTGATAATTTGCTTAATTAACTATAAATAAATATTTAAACCCGAAGAAACACTAAATAGACAAAATAAAACAAATCACACAACTTCACTCCTCGCGTTCCCGCCAAAAAGTTCAAGTTCAGTGGATTACACGGATTGTCACGGATGCATAGATAATACACACATTGAGACACGGACGGCGACCATAGATTATACACTTAATATATTTGACGGCGACGGTATTTTGATAGTTGTCAAATCCTACGTAAAAGTAGAAAATAGAAACATAGATTATACACTTAATATATTCGAGAAATAGAAATTATCCTAAAAATTTAAGATCGTTGACGTCGAAAATTAAGTAATAACAAATCAACACTTGAAAACGATTCAAGTTTAACTTCGTACTTAGCCATTTTCATGTAAATCCAACAGCACCAAGCCTTCAAAATGCTAAAACCGAAAGCATTAACAGAAGTTTTAAGTCAAGCTAATACAGGAGGAGTAGAAAACACTTTGTAATGAAAACATTTAGTTTGGTTACATATTTTATTAGACACTAAACATCAAAATTACAGGTGCTTCTTGATTTTAGGTTGTTGAATCATCAAGGTGCACTTCTAGCTTATTCTGGTTACAATGATAAGGATGCTAGAGTCACTGCTGCAATCGCTAGTAATGTCTGGTCAGCTTATGAAAAACACGGCAGAAATGTTTTTAAAGAAGATGGACTACATTTAATACTAGTAGATTGTTTAAATGGGAAAATTGCAATCACACAAGTTGCCAATTTATTACTGTGTCTTTATGCGAATGAGGCTGTTGGTTTTGGCATTCTGAAAGAAAAAATCAATGCTATTGCTCAGTATCTAGAAGGTCCTTTGAAGCAAGTTGCAAGTTCATAATATGTAATTTTAAATAATTATGAGCAAAATAATATGAGAAGTCACTAAAATACTTTACTTGGTGTATATTCAGTTATTTGAATCTTTAAATTTTATAGCTATTATATAAAACATGATAATTGCAAATTTGATTCCTGATTTGTATGCCATGTTTGATAATAAAAGGATTTACTGAGATAGTAGCTTAATCGATTCATTTGAATAATAATAGTTAAGATGCCTCATATACGTGTGCTATGCAACTATGCTGTATTTTCTGGGACAGGTATAAACATATTATTAAATATCTAGGTTCACAATAAACTTTCACATTAAAAAAAAGCTTAGAAATAAAATAAAACATTCAAAATTAATAGATTTTCATAATAACTGTCAGTATGGTGGAACCTGTATGGGTAGATAATATATACAATATATTAATATTGGAAAAATTAATGTACTGTAAAAATGTCTTTTCATTTTAATGTCAGACATTGTTACTACTGTAAATCTAATTAACATGTCCATATGTCAGTTTGCATGGCTTCTTTGTCAATTTGATAGTGGAACAAAATAGAAAAAGTAAAGTTCAACTAAATGGTTAATGCTAAAACCCCTATAAGTTGATGTACATTTAGTCATTAATATTTTATAAACTTTAATCATTAGAATATTTTGTAGTATCACAATTAATGATGACCCAGTATAAATCTATTCTTCTTTAAGTTTGTATTGAATGTTTAATAGTGACAGCATAGAGCTGAGCATAGCCAGGAGTATCCTTTATGTAAATCATACAGTTGCTCCTCATATGCACATTGTATCATTGTAACCTAGGATAGATAGATGGTTTATATATAAAAAATCGAAATTGTTAATTGTTTCTTACCAGGAATTCCAGTACAAATATTCCCTTGTTACAAGCAGTCTCGTCTGATCATTAGCTTATAAAGTCATAAATACCAAATAAATAATAGGTAATTTACCTGTGAAATTGCCATTAAGCATACAGATAATGAAAGCAATATTTTTATAAATATTTTTTTTATTTCTATAAATAAAAATATGCATGATATTGATGCATCTCTACCAATTTTTCAATGCATTTACTGAAGAACTTGGGTATGGGTGCTATCAAACTCTTTAAAGGCATTTTAAACGGCCTCTCGGGTATTAAATTTTAAGTTGTCCAAACTTTGGAAAAAGTAAAAGTCTGTCAGCACAAGGTCTGGTGAACATGTTGCATTATGCAAAACTTTCATCCTTAGCTCTTGGAGCTTAGAAACTGTATAATGTGTCGTACAAAGTGTTGCTTTTTTTTTATTGCCTAGATGTGTGGATGAGCTCACAGCACACCTGGTGTTAAGTAGTTACTGGAATCCATAGACATCTACAACGTAAATGCGCCACACACCTTGACACCTTGTCTTGCACCTATACTACAGCAGAGAGGAGCCAGTAACCAAGGCTGGCATTCGCAGGCTTTTCCATCTTGTCTAGTTAATCGGGTACACATTCGGGTCAAAGCTAGTGTCATTTGGTTTGCTGTGATGAATTATTGATTAGACCACCAAAAAGTGACCATTAATATTTTAACCACGACGTTGGGCAACGTAAGGCATTGTTTTGGGGCAGGGGCCAAACTTGATTCGAGGTGTCTGTGTCCATGGTACGATGGCTCATCAGGCCGCCCGGGTGGGCCTGCGCCAGCCTGCTGGGTGGGAACGCGATACACCGCCGACCGGGTTGCCCATCTACAGTGCGTCCGGTGATGACAGCGACGACGGCAACGCGGAGTGTAGCCGCTGAAGTGTCATCCTATCCTCATGGTGCCAGAGCGCTAGAGTTGTTACGGTAGCGGGCGGCGCAGCCTCGATTCACTCTTCACCCTAGGACCATCATCGGGAAACGTGTTTCACACAATGTTATTTATCATTTTTATTTTCCAGAAATGAAAGTAAAACTACAAGTGAAGATAGAAATAATATATATTTGAAAACATAAAATTAAATAAGGACTTATTTCATTTTCTTCTGTTTAATTAGGTAGTTTCTAAATGCAATTTGCTTTTCTTTGAATGATCTCTTGATTTTGCCTTTTGCTTTGTGTTTTACCATTTGATAGTTTTTAGTTTTCCTTTTTTCCCTATTTGTTTTANGAAATGAAATTAAAACTACAAGTGAAGATAGAAATAATATATATTTGAAAACATAAAATTAAATAAGGACTTATTTCATTTTCTTCTGTTTAATTAGGTAGTTTCTAAATGCAATTTGCTTTTCTTTGAATGATCTCTTGATTTTGCCTTTTGCTTTGTGTTTTACCATTTGATAGTTTTTAGTTTTCCTTTTTTCCCTATTTGTTTTAGAGCAGTTTGCATTTTTCCTGCGATCTTTGTATCCATATTTTTGCCTATCTTCTCGTCCTTTCATTACACTCTCCAACCTTGCATTCTTATCATGTTTTTTCTTTTTATAAATATTTTCAATAGCACCAAGTTGAACCAATTCTCCAGATTCTGCCTCCTCTTCTTCAATGTTAGTATTTGATTTTCTTTTGACGCCACTAATATTCTTTTTAATTTGTGCAGCTTCAATTCTTTTAAAATCTTCATCCGTAAATATTGTCTCCATAGCAATTTCACGTGCACATTTTACTTTTTCTTCATTGTCCAGTTTACGTTTTGCTTTTAATATTTTTCTTTCTTCATTTTTTTGTACAGTATCTTCAGGTCTGTCAAACATGTTATCAGTATCGTCTACATCACATTGTTCAGCTTCACCATTTTCGTCTATGTCACTTTCTTCACTGTCTGAGATTTCAATTTCTGAAGCAGATGACGCAACGTCAACCCATTCTTCACTGTCAGAATCATTCTTTTGCTTTTTATTTTTTTCACTTTTCTTTTTATCATTATTTTTCTCTTTCTCTTTTTCCAACAGGACTTCAGAACCAGGAATATAATCCTTTGTTTCTAGTTCACCATATTTCTTTGTTTTCAGTTCGATTGAGGCTTCTGTAGGTCTACCTCTGTCTTTTTTATGTAGAAGTTCTGGCATTGATTGTCTGTATAATTGAATTAAGGATCTAGCAGCCATCATCACAGATTTTTCTTTGTAACTTTTATATTGAACTAAATCTCTTAGTAAATCTTCTCCAATAGCAAGGGGACACCTTGTGCATATTTCACGCACAGCATTTAATCCCACTGCCATTACATCAGTTGAATTTCGTTCAGTTATAAAGTTATTTGCAATGGCACGCATTACTGGCTCAATAACTTCATATGGTACCAACTCATGGGAAGCTTGTGCAGCAAATTGCAAAATTCGAGTAACTTCTCTTTGATGAGGCAAAAGTAATCTAGCTATAAATGGGTAGAAATTGAAAAGGAAAAGATTGTGTAGACCGATCAATCTTGACACAACATCTAAGGTCATTAACTTTACCTCAAATCTATCATTTGAAGCCTCCATCTGTTTGAATAATTTCTCTGCAAGACCTTGCGGGTTGTTGATTAGATGTAATGCTGAAAAATTGAATGCAGGAGCTTTTTGCTTCTTTTTCTTCATCTTTTTTGCAATCTTTTTTACTTTCTCCACCATTTTTTCCCTTTTCCTTGTTTTCTTATTAAATTTATTAGAAATCATTGTATCTCTTGGATCAATTTCGTCATCACTATCTGAATTTTGTTCTTTTTCTTCCTCATCTCTACCCAGGAAAAATTTTAATGATGCTACAAGAACTTTGGTGAATTTGGAAAAGCATCCAATATCAGCAATAATGTTGACAGTTTTTTGATCATTCCAAATATTTTTGTGATATAATTCAACAAGTATGTCAATAGAGAGTTTAGCAGCTCTTGTGTTTGAATCTTGTAACATGCTAAAAATAAAGTTCTGCAATGTTGAATTCAGTTTCATATCTTTATTTTTCATGTTCATGTTTTTGATGTCTGTTATAATATGAGTTTTCAAAAAATCCCTCAAATATTTATCTTGGCATTTTAAAAGTGTAAAAAACAATTCTAGCAAATCAAATGGCGTAATAAAGTTTTTATTTCGAAGTAAAATTAAGCACTTGCATAATGCCAAACGCATTTCATTATGTAATGTTGTGTTATGTGTTTTTAAAACATCTACAATTTTTTGTGGAAAAGTTTTCATTTCATTAAAATAACACTGTGCAACTTGAGCTAAGAACATAGCTTGCTCATCGAGTTTTTTACTATATTGTGTGGGGTTCAAGTTGAATATTTCTAAAGTGGTCTCAAAATGTGCAAGTTGTTGATGAAACTCTTCTTTGTAAGATTCTGGATCACGTTTTATAAGATTTTGCAACTGCGTTAGGTTGTTCGGAAGTTGATTATTATGCCTAACCATTTTTTAAATATTTTTGTACAATAATAGGAACAGACTGGCACTAAATATTTAGATTTTTGTTGTTTCAAACTACGAATTAGAAGTATTCTTTCAAACACGTTTTTTAATGAAACAATGCACAAAACTATTTGCGTCTGAGCATAGTGGATGCTATTATAATATGTGAATTATTCTGAATTGTGAATATTATGTACGTTATCAGAGCACGTTAATTATTTTATAAATATAACCTATTTGCTGAGCACATGTTTTTCTAATGTGGGATTTTATGACCTGGTAGCTAAGACCTTTAAGTGATGTCTTATTTTAATAATTTGTGTTCTTATTTTTTATGAAAAATTATATTACGGAGTGAAATGAAATGAAGATGATTAATTTGAGACATTAATCAACTGGGATGAAATGAAATGTAATGAAGGAGAAGGAATCTCACAGGGAGCCAGGAAGATCAAGTACTTAAGTGTCATCCATGACATTCCGCCTACAAAATCAGTCCGCAACCGTGCCGCATTTATTCTCGGTAAACTCTATCCCATGATTTGTAAGCGGAATAAAATGTCCCTTCGGAATAAATTGACACTTTACAAACTTGCGGTCAATGGCGGATCCAGGGGGAGGGTCATGGGGGTCATGACCACCCCCTGAGCTGGGTCCAGGACTTAGGTGGAACACTAATTGAATATAATGATTTTATTTATATATTTTGTCACCATACAGTTTTTATGTAACTACATACCTTCAATATTTAATTAATTTAATATAATATAATAACTTTGTATAATGGTAAACGTTTGGGAACGAACGCATCTAAATTTGACTATGTGACCCCCTCCTGGCGCCAAAACTAGATCCGCCCTTGCTTGCGGTTCGTCATGACTTACGCAAGTGTGGTGTTTGCTCACGTGGCCCGCACATACGTCATAGACATCCTCAAATTCCTACCCACTTCGATAAAGCGGCACGATACGAGAACCCTCTCATCGTGGCCGCCGGTAACTACATTCCCGATCCTGCGGAAAGAATGGAAAGCAGTCGACTTCGCCCAAAACACGTCATCTCGGATCCTCCTGATCCACTAATGGTGCTTCTAGGTACTTCAAGCACCGGTCACCGTTCTCATCGAACCCGTCGCTTGCGACGAAGGGCTCGACGAGTAAATTAACCCTCAGACACAGCCCACTGAGTTTCTCGCCGGATCTTCTCAGTGGGTCGCGTTTCCGATCCGGTGGTAGATTCTGCGAAGCACGACTCTTGCTAGGGTTCGTGTTAGCAACTTCGTCAGGTTTGAGCCCCGCGAGCTCACCTACTAGTTAAGGTTACGCTGGAATAGCCTCTCAAGGCTACCAGCTTAGGTAGGAAAAAAAAAGCAACCTAACCCATGCATCAGCCCGCTGAGTTTCTCACCGGATCTCCTCAGTGGGTCGCGATTTCGATCCGGTAGTAGATTCATTCTCGAAGCAACTGCTCTCTGGTTGTTAGGTCTCCTTCGGAGTCACCCGGGCAGCTGTTAGCAAATTCCACTCCTCTTGGCTGAGCCTTTGCTTGCCCACCTGTCCTGGAGAAACTGGGAAGGCCTACGGGCCACCAGTAATTCTTCAATCATATAAGAAAATATTCAAATTAATGAAACATAGATTACATTTAATTTTATAAGCGAATATTCCTCATTTTGTTATTGACATCAAATACGTCGTTTGTCATGTCAAATGGCCACGTCATTTTGGCTTGAATGAGAGGCATACGCGGCGATCTTTTAATTAATTGTATAACGAACAAATAATAGAAACATGAATATATTCCGTTTGCTTGGTGATCTATCCCACCTGTTAGCTATAATAATATTGTTATTAAAGATTTGGAAATCAAGATCATGTGCAGGTAAATTACATGCGAAGAATTCTCCCGGCGTGTCATTCAAATATTTATTTAACTCTAATAAATACTTAAATTATGTTTCAGGGATATCAGGAAAGTCTCAGATTCTGTTTTCAGTGGTATACACGACACGTTATTTGGATCTGCTTACAACTCATGTGTCCCCGTATAACACTGTCATGAAGTTGGTGTTCATCTTTACCTCCTATGCAACTATTTATTTGATGTATGTCAAGTTTAAGGCCACCTATGATCACAACCATGACACATTCAGGATTGAATTTCTACTGATCCCCACCTTTATCTTGGCTTTATTGATAAACCATGAGTTTACTGTTTTGGAGGTAATGTTCTGTGTTTTAAGTGATATTATCCATTTTTCTCAGAAGCACTATAAATAAAATAAATTGTAAAAACTGGGCTTTGATAAATGTTAAAATAATATTTTTTAATTGTTAGTAATTTGTATATGTACATGTTTTGAGGATATGCATTGTTTTAGGTATTGTGGACTTTTTCCATTTATTTGGAATCTGTCGCTATTCTACCTCAACTGTTCCTGGTTTCAAAAACAAGAGAGGCCGAAAGCATTACCTCTCATTATCTGTTTGCTTTAGGTTCATATAGAGCTCTGTACCTCTTGAACTGGGTGAGTATATTTCTAAAGTGAAAACTTCACTCTCATATTTGTTAAAACTAAAGTAAAAGTAATTCAAGTTAATAATTATAAACAGTTAAATTCACTTAGAATTTTTAACTGAATTTTACTGGTTAAGGTATGCAAAAGGCCTCTTCCCTGGGACCTGGAAGCGGAGGCGCTCGCTGCGGATTACACGTGGCGATGTGATCTCCGCTCCAGGGGGGAGCCGCGTCCCGGCGCGGCGCAAGTTCGAGCGTGGAAGCTCCAATCACGGCGTGCCGTGCTCGAGGCGTGGTCTCGCCGCCTGGCAGACCCCACCTACGGGCGACGGACCGTCGAGGCGATCCGCCCGGTCCTCTCGGACTGGGTGAATCGCGACCGAGGACGTCTCACCTTCCGAGCGATGCAGGTGCTCACGGGACACGGCTGTTTTGGTCGCTACCTGCACCTCGTCACCCGGAGGGAGCCGACGCCGAAGTGCCATCATTGCAGTGGCTGCAACGAGGACACGGCGGAGCACACGCTCGCGTACTGCTCCGCTTTCGCGGAGCAGCGCCGCGTCCTCGTTACAAAGATAGGACCGGACTTGTCGCTTCCGACCGTCGTGGCTGCGATGTTCGGCAGCGATGAGTCCTGGCAGGCGATGCTCGACTTCTGCGAGTCCACCATCTCGCAGAAAGAGGCGGCGGAATGGGAGAGGGAGAACTCTTCCTCCCTCTCGGCGCCGTGCCGCCGCCTCCCGGTGATGGTCACTGGGCGACCTAAGGGGGTTGAGACTGCGCCGCACACTACCGTCACTAGCGCGCTGGCACCAGGAGGACGGGACGACGCGTCGGCGGCTGCGGATTGCGATGCGGTCCGCATTTTCGTCGTCGCTGTATCGCGTTCCGACCCGGCAGGCTGGTTCTGGCCCAGCGGGGTATCCTGGAACACCAGCGGCATCGCCCGGGTGGCCTGGTAGGGCCGCCGTACCGCGGAGACCGACGTCGTTGGTCGTCGACTATCGCCTCGACGACCCGTCGGTCGGGCGTCCTCGGGTTGGCGCCGCGTGTCTGGTTGTAGTGTTGACCGCGGGACCCCCCCTACTCTGCCCGGGTTTTGCCCGGCCACACATAATGCACTTAAGGGTACAGCTAGCTGTAAAATACAACAGGGGCATCAACCTCTTGTATTAATAAGTTTTTGTATTAATAAGCATTAGCATGCAAAATGTTGTAGGCTTCCGTAATCAAATTACATAGAGATAAATTTAAAAAAAATGTCCAATCATTGTAAACAATAGATGTATCATACAATGGCTTTGAGCAATAAGCAAAAACATCAATAATAATATGGATATTGTATATTTTTGTTATCTCATATTATAAATCCTAAATATATCACTACACTGATAAGGGTGACATAATTACTCACACCATACCAGTTTAATAAATCTCTATGGAATTGCCTAAAGTGGGCATTTTATAAACATTAAAATAAAGCCTAGGTAAAATTAATAACTTCTAAATTGGCTAAGTTGAAGTATTAATAGATTTAAATCTAACCTGTTAGATACCTATAAATTGGCCAAAGAATGGGTTCATGCACTAAAATGTGAATTGTATGTAATTGTGTACGACAACAATTATCAAAAGAGCTTTTAATTTATTATAGTTAAATGTTTACAATAATAATCATAATACAAAATTTATTTAATTTTGTTTATCATATTACAAAATATAAATAGTCATTATTATACATTACAGGTTTACCGTTATGTTGTGGAGTCTCACTATGAGTTGATAGCGATTATCTCTGGTGTTGTGCAGACAATTCTGTACTGTGATTTCTTCTACCTTTACATTACGAAAGGTAAGAAGTTTAATATAAAATAATATTTAAATCATTGTCATATAGAAAATATCTGTGGTCACTGGGCCAATAGTAAATGTTCCATTGCAACAGCTTACCTTTTTAAAATCCTAAATTAATTGTCATGATATTATGAATTTTACTTGTCAACCTCAGTAGGTACTTTAGACTTACATCAGGTTTGTGACATTTTATAATTATATTTTTCATATAAGTACACTGCATTTTTGGAGTTTTCTTTATTAGTAGGGTTTTACAAAGATAGTTTTTATTGATAGAAAGGTTTCCTTAAAACTAATTCATTAATTTTACTACATACTCATTGAGGAAATTCTAATAATTCTTATTTGTTACAGTATTGAAGGGAAAGAAACTACAGTTGCCAGCTTAAGTTTTTTGATAATATCTGTTTAAATGTTTTTGGTGTGAACCAATAAATTACCTAAGATTTAGTTTGTATAAACTTTGTCTGTTTTGTGCTATTGTGAAATTGTTTATTAACTAATCACAATGTATGATTGTAATACTGCAACAAAATGAATGCAGTCACAAGCAATAAATAATTATTATATGGTATTTAGGATTTTTTAATTTGGTACAACAAATGTAAAAAAGGATAAAATTATTACAAGAAAATTCCTAGGATTTCTTATGTATGTTTGAAGTACTATGGACTAATATGTATTTAAAATTATAATTACGTAAGTGGTGGTACTTGAGGTAAGAAAAAATGCAGTCAGTAAGTATATACACAAGTGTAGTTCATTAACATCAAAAGTATGGCTGTTTGTGGCATTCCATTTTTAACTTCCTGTCCTGATCATTAAATTCCCTAAAGTGGTATGTACCATATTATTTTGCCCTAATAATCGATAATTCAGAACTTGTCTGTTTTGTAAGTGTTTAAAGACACCTTAATTTTCGTATTCTGTATTGGAATAAATTTATAGAGTCATAATTGTTTTATTTTTTATAATTGAGCCATTTAACGAGAAATTACTAGGTAGTAGTTTTCAGTCTGCCCTTAAAATCTATANATTCCCTAAAGTGGTATGTACCATATTATTTTGCCCTAATAATCGATAATTCAGAACTTGTCTGTTTTGTAAGTGTTTAAAGACACCTTAATTTTCGTATTCTGTATTGGAATAAATTTATAGAGTCATAATTGTTTTATTTTTTATAATTGAGCCATTTAACGAGAAATTACTAGGTAGTAGTTTTCAGTCTGCCCTTAAAATCTATAGTAAGTTTAGTAAATTGGACTCTGTTGCTGTGACATTATTGTATGTGACTGCTTTTAAATTTTACGTAAATGTAAATAAATGAGTACTTTCGTATTAGATTGACGAATAAGTTCAAAATATTATGAATACCTTCAATTATGACTGGTTTTGCCAATATTTATTTCTTATAATTACACAGGGTCAATTTTTAGTGGTGAATCAAATATTTTTCTTAGTTCATCATACAATTACTTTCACTGGTAGTTAAATAATTACAATTTCGTTATCTAATTTATTTTGAATTATTGGTAACATTTCATTAGGTTTCGCGTTTATCACGACCACGACTAGAATTTTGCTGGCTGCATTTTGTTTTGGTGTGAACAAGATTTGGTGTGGTGTACCAAGAGCAGCAAAGTACTATTTTTTGCATGTAAGTATACAAATGTAATTCCGACGAGTTATGTGATCCGATTGCGGGACCATGGAACACAACAGTAACACTGATAGTATTTCTTTTTAATAATTAAATAGCTTATTAATTGTGACCAATGTAAATGGTTCGTCTTTGACTTTATTGGGAAATGCAGCTTCGATTCACCATTAAACATTCACCCTATATAGGACTTAGATATAGGATGAATCCATTATAAACAATTAAAAAAAATCGCGTCTTCTAAATTAAAGTGAAATTAATTTAGACTAATACAATAATATGTATGTATAAGGTAGAGCCGACTAGAGCCAAATTTAGTATTATAATATATTTTTTATGTGTATGAATTTCATATTATTTGTTGGATTTGGTGTGCCTATAAATGATAGGCAAACTACATAATAGGTTAATGTATGGAAGATTGCCTATCGGTAATTTCTTCCATACATTGATTTAATACATTATAGTTTAAATAAGGATACGTTTTACTGTGTGCACGTTTATATTTTTCATTTATTACTTTAAAAAAGAACTTAGCCAGTTTAGGGCGTGTTTAATTTTAATAAAAGTAATTAATAAAATATGGCTTTTAATTTACACACAGATCTAGGCTGTAGATATCATACGTACGTATTTACGACTAAAGGTGCAACTAACTGTGTAAAGGTGTAACTATACTGAGATCTTAGAACTTATATCTCAAGGTGGATTTACGTTGTAGATGTCCATGGGCTCCAGTAACCACTTTACACCAGGTGGGCTGTGAGCTCGTCCACCCATCTACGCAATAAAAAAAAAAATGATGTCAAACGATATTGCCACAACAATAATGCAGGATTAAGTTTTTTGAATATGATTTCTAGTTTATAATTAATTAATTTGGAACAGTCAGAATATCCTTCCGTACCTACTAGAATTAATGAGCATTAGTAGTCACTCTAGTGCAAAATCTTATACTTTTAAACGAGCAATTCTTGTATATATAATATATATAATCTGAATCTCGGAAACGGCCCCAACGATTTTTATAAAATTTAATATACAGGGAATTTCGGGGGCGATAAATCGATCTAGCTACAATTTATTTTCAGAAAATGTTGTTTTATTCCTGTTTTCAATAATCAACATTATGACTCTTCCCGACATCTATTGGCGAATAATAATACTATTTTTCATAATTGAGAGCAACTAAATGCTTTAAAGACACAATAACACTAAAGCTATTTCAGCAGATGGCGTTGTTAAGCCACCCGAAGCCGACCCGAATGAGTGTTTGGTTTATGGTTAGACCAAGAAAATTATTAATTTTTTAAATTAAAATTATTTAAATTATTTAAATTATTTGTGTCTTTTTAACTCACGTGTTCACTTAAAAATGCCTAAACGATCTTTGAATATTTCATCATTTCATCATTATGTAATTCGTATTTAAATATAATTTCTAAAAAACACAATTTATAAAAAAATATATATATATACCGAGCAAAGCTTGGTCATCGTTTAGTAATATATATTACACTATGTCACAATTTGTAACTTTGTATAGCTTTTCACTTCCGTCTCGCTACGTTTTCTTCAGTTCGTCTTGGTTCTGTCATCTGGGTACGGGCTGTGACTGACCAAGAAACCAAGTCCAACTTGATGTATTCCTCGTTGAGGCTTGTATTCCTTACCATTGTAGACTACAGTGGAACCTATCTCAATGTTCCTCGCACTATACGATTTCTAATAAGGTCTCAATAATTGTTGCATGCTTGTTATTACTTGGCGTTATTTGTCAATAGATGGCTCTTGCCTTCACTAAATCATATAAGTAATAATAGTTTTAATTTAAGTGGTAAATGTAGAATCAACATCCCGGTTCTAAATGAACCGATAATAAGATAAAAAACTTCAGAGGTGTCAAGGGAAGGGACACCCGGATGGAACGAAGTTCCTTTCGATTAATTAGTGAAGGAATTGTAATTTTTTTTTTAAGTTATAATAATAAATTACGGCATTATGAAGAAGAAAAAAACAATACTATGAACTAAATTACTATTGTTGAAACGCTATCTCGAGAAACTGTACTCATTACGCGGACCAATCGGATACGAGCAATGTCACGCNACTAAATTACTATTGTTGAAACGCTATCTCGAGAAACTGTACTCATTACGCGGACCAATCGGATACGAGCAATGTCACGCGATAAGCGCCTACACGTTGATTGGTCAGAATGACGGATCTAAAAAGTGTCGTGACAACTTTTCGTAAGAATTTTTTCCGTCTAGCCCCCTTTCACAACGCGCGATAAGGAACTTCGTTCCAAAACGTACCTACAACTAGATTTAAGCGGGTTCGTTAAATACTACTAGTAAATAAAACCACATAGGTATGCCATCTAGTCTATTAGTTATAACAAATTCAATAACTATAAAGACATTTTTTACTATAAACGTAATTTCCGATAAATACATATTTAGTAGTTGAATAAACTTGACGCATATTCATGGAAGTCAGCAACGTGAACTTGTTCCTGTAAAATAAAAGCATATATTTTTAGTTTAAAAATTTTCTTTATGATTTTAGGGAAACTATAGTAATATGTTTTTATTTTTTATTTATTGCTTATATAGGTGGTCGAGCTCACAGCCCACCTGGTGTTAAGTGGTTACTGGAGCCCATAGACATCCACAACGTAAATGCGCCACCCACCTTGAGATGTAAGTTCTAAGGTTTCAAGTATAGTTACAACCGCTGCCACACCCTTCAAACCGAAACGCATTACTGCTTCACGGTAGAAATAGGCAAGGTGGTGGTACCCACCCGTGCGGACTTACAAGAGGTCCTACCACCAGTAAGAACCTGCGTGCTTAGTGCAAGTTTTTTAACTTTCTCGATCGCGTAAAAGTTAAATTTGTATTATGTAGTTGGAACATAGCGCTCTTAGCGGCAAACGTCCCAATTCCATACAAATATTATTTAACTTTTACGCTATCGTGAGCGTTAAAAAACTCTCACTAAGAACATTGTACGGCATTTGCGTTTGAAAGTGTGAGTGCCCCAAGTCTAGCCGAGCGACGGATAGGCGAAAACTTAATATCGAGCGGCTACACTATTCGTTCAGCAAATGATGTCACCAAATGATGATACCATGGTTATTTATCTCAAAAATTATTATAAAATTTGAGATGTCAATCCATGCGTTTCCCGCACCGCCATGACCGCCATTATTGTGTAAACGGACACCAAGGGGGCAGACGCATGACCCATTGAAGGAGATTTCTGACTTGTGTTTTAGTAATTCTTTAAATCTATTCATAGGTATTGTACCTTCAACATTGTGCTGCTGTTCAGTAATTGGAATATACCATTTTCTAAGGTTGTTTCATCGACAATAGCAGTATAGGTCACGCCCATTTGAAGATTTTCTTTGATCTGTGAAAGCATTAAGTAAGCAAGCGTTATTTATTGAGTTACCAAAAGAAGGTAAGGGCCGTGGTTTACAAACTACCCAGATGATACTATCGACAAAAATTCGGAACTTCCTAACATTTTGTTTGGTATTTATTGCATTTACTTTTGAATACGTGGAGTCGTGTTTCCTTATAGGCACGGATCGGGCCTCTGCGTAGTTAGTTCCCTTTGCCCGAACTGGTGAGGCGTTCAACATTCCCACTTGTACTTACGGGTAATTTAGAATTTTGAAGTCATCGTGGCCTAAAGGATAAGACGCCTGGTGCAATCCTGTCAAGCGATGCATCAGTGTTCGAATCCCGCAGGTAGGTAGCAATTTTTCTAATAAAATACATTCACGATTGACTTCACGGCGACAGAATGACATCGTGTAATAAAAATCAAACCCGCAAAATTATAATTCGCGTAATTACTAGTCGTAAAACTTCTTGTGAGACCGCGAGGGTAGGTACCACCACTCTGCTTATTTCTGCCTTGAAGCAGTAATGCGTTTCGGTTCGAAGGGCGGGGCAGCCGTTATACTGTAAAAACTGAGACCTAAGAGCTCATGTCTCGAGGTGGATGGCGGCATTTATGTCGTAGGTGTCTATGGGCTCCGGTAACCAGTTAACACCAGGTGGGCGGTAAGCTCATCCAGGCATCTAAGCAATAAAAAAATTTTAGAATCCAATTAGAAAGAGTCCACTTCTATGATTTTTTTTTATCTAGTTTTACATGGACTCACCTGAGAATCTAGACTCATTGGGATTGAAGGTAACAATGCAGCAATTTGGTTTCCCTCCAATTTGTTGAACAATACCTGAACGAGTTTACTCAATCGTTCCTTATTTTTGTTATCTGAAATGGAATAAAAAATATATATGTGGGTAGTTAAATATATATAAAATGAAAAAAAAAAACAACATTTGAAACTTGTTTGAGTGAAACACAGTAATTGTGAAACATAATTACAAATATGTATGTGCAGTATGTGCTCCCTATCCAAACTTGAAAACTTGGGCTGGCAAGCAAAAAACATTAAGGTAACATCTTAACTAGTAAAACCATCTGAATGCTTTCTGTTTTTAATCTATAACAATCATTTAGGTGTAAAAGTTAATACTTTTTCGTTGATTATAATTTAATTAATAAAAAATAATAATATGTTATGAATAATAATTCGATTTTTATATTTTATTTATTGCTTAGTTGGGTGGACGAGCTTACAGCCCACCTGCTGTTAAGTGGTTACTGGACCGAAAAGCATTACTGCTTCACGGCAGAAATAGGCAGGGTGGTGGTGCTACCCGTGCGGATTCACAAGAGGTACCAGTATTGTCGTGAGTCAGGTTTTCAGATAACATGGCGATACTGACGTGGCTGATGTGCCTCTGGAATTTCTGGAATTTAATGTTATCTGTGAGCCAGCATTTCGCACTATGCTACTACAATATATCTTCTCCTTGATGGTCATTGGCTTTCTTATAATCATCATACATGCTTGTCTTGTAAGCTGTCTTCATTTTTTCCAAACAAATTCGAAGGCTACCACTTACATAACCACTTATCACATTTAAAGCATATTAACAAGTAATCTATACATATCAATAAAACTGGAGTGTTTGTTTGTAATATTGAAATAACCGCTTTTTACTACATGCATATGAATATATGCATGTAGTAAACATACACCAAAATAACATTTTTTACAATTTTTTACTCAAATATCAATAATAAATGTTAATGTTTCCGAAGCGAAGCGAGGGCGGGTCGCTAGTTTATTAATAAAAAAGAAAATATATAAATTCAATGCATTTCCATCTCTACATTATATTTATATGGGTATATTCTATCTCTATTAATGAAAACCTCACCTTCAAAATTGAAACCAAAGGCAATCTTATATGGTGTGATTTTTCGGTGAAGTCTCAAATATTCTTCTTTTGAGTAATTACTTAACCCATCAAGGAGTATTATAAATAGAGCATTTTCTAATGACATGGTACAACTGAGGCGATAATTGTTACTTTCCTGGAATGTCCAAAATATATACTTCAAACAAATTTTACCTTTTTTTAACAGTGTGAGCTAAGTTTATTAGTAATTAGAATAAATTTTAAACCTTCATGATCCAGTGCCCACATGTGTTGGATATTTAGTCACAAAGATCACAGTCAATCAAGTTCAAGTTAGATCACAAAGGGTTAATACTAATAATTAATTTAACCAATATAATTCATACATTATCATCGCATGTAATAGTAATTCTTTCAACAGGAAATGATCCAAAAGGAAATTTTGCTAATATATCAACATTGGCTTCATTATTTTCCAACTTCATGTCATTTATGCTAAACAAGCTGGGTGTTGTGGTTATCTGAAAATAAGATATACATATTTGAATAAATATCTGATCATATGCCAACATTTCTGACAAGATTTAACCAGTGGTGACTATATGACTGAAATACGGTCTTTTTTTAATACCAGTGTCGGCAGTCTTCATATAGTGCATTTAATAGTGAGCAGTCACAGTGACTTGTGGATGTCATGTAATACCAAGATTGTTAAGCTTGCCAAACTTAGACCATGGATATTAGCATTCTGCAAGCGAATAAAAAAATAGAAAATTTCAGAGAATAATTATGTGAAGTTTTATGCTTGAATCTCCAGATTGTATTTGGTTCAAATTTTAGTCCATTCAAAATAGTAAATCCACAAAATAAAATGATTTTTTAAAGATGTTACATTTAATTCAAAGAAAACTTAGCCAGATTAAAAGTAATAAAAATTTTATGGACATAAAGTGTGAGGACAACATTGATATATTTTAAAGATGCACCAATAATAATTAAAATATAAAGAATGAAACTTTGTTTATATTTTTTATGTGAAGAAATCCTCGATACAGACAAGCTGTCCAATAATAACATACCAACATTAGTTATACCCAATACTAAAATATAGGTTATTAGATGTCGATAAAAACTAAAGTATCTTTAACTTACAGAACTCCACCAGTATTTCCTATAACGTTGCCATTGAATAAAATTTTTCATTATGTCTTTTTGGGGTATAATTATGTTTAGTGCTAATTTAGAAGTTTCTTCTGGATAAACACTTCTTAGGTTGTGAGTTAGTATTTCGGTAGATTGTTTATCAATTGTTATAAAACCAAATGGTATATTCTTATCACATAACTCAAATGTTTTTCTATTCAAATAAACTGGCATGTGTTTCTGTGTTTTGCCTAATGTGAACCGGAGCCAATTCACATGGATATTTTTCATTAATACCTGACTAGGTTTCAATAAAGTAAAATCAATTTTTGTTGCATTATTATTAATCATTTGAAAGAATTTTTTCAGGTTTAAAACTTTAAGAATTTCAGTTTTCATTTTTGTTGGTTGCCTTCAAAGGAAGTTCTTTGTTTTCTATTTCGAGCAATGGTATATTCCCAGTCGGAGCCACAAAGTAATCATCCTCTTTCACTGTAGCATTTTTTAATATGTCCTTTTGACAATTTCCTTGTGTAATCTTGTCAGGACGAAGATTGAGGTTTCTGTAAATCAGCATGTACTAAAAAAACTGTTGATTTAAACATAAAAATCGTTTCAAGATATTGCAATACAGAGTAATTATTTGATTATATTATAAAATAATTAGAATTTGTAATAAATTTTACATATTTAGTGAGATATTAAAATCTTACTCATTTTCTAGGGTGGTATAAAGAGGTTCTATATTGTCAGTGTTTATATGAAGTATTTTATTGGCAAAAGTTATTGAATCTTCCAATACTTTTATTCCTTTTGGAGTATCATACTTTACTAGTGAAAGTCTTTCAAGCAGCGTTATAGTACTCGGATCAATGCATATTTTATTTTTATCATCATTTTGTACTGTACTGACAGGCTTGGAAGGTACTTTTGAACAATAATTCTTGGACAAAATTCTTTGAATTGTAACACCATTTAAGGCGATAAATCGAAATAGCATAATTAATTATTAAATAAATACGTTTGTGTTTGTGTAATTTATTTTATAAAAATTAAAAATTTTACTGTTTGTACATAACTTTTTTAAGGGATATTATGATATTATGACCTGGTAACTAAGACCTTTAGGTCAGTACTACATAGTGTTTCATAGATTAAAGCACTTAATATTTGAGAATTATACACTTTAATACACATAATAGGTATTAATTTATTTTAAGTACTATTTGAAATAAATTCAATATTAATTTGTTTACAGCCCTTAGTGGCTCGATGTTATAACATTAGACATATATAATACACTTCAACGCTTGAAAGGCAAACATGAATAAGCGTCAATGCGTGAACTTTACATTAGGCTAATTTAAAGTTGAAATACCTGAAGAAAATTCTATTTTAACGAATCTAGCTGTAGGATTGAAATTATTTTAATACACCTAGAAATATTTTTTTTTTGCGCATCGAATATGGTTATTGCCTATCATTTATGTACAAAGCAGTTATTGTCGCTTAGTCACGTTTGCCTTTCAAGCGTCGACTTGCATTAGAGTCCATCTTAGATGTTTTCCAAATATTTAATATTTGAAAAAAAAAAAACCTGTGCTCTTCATACGGAGAAGAGATATGTACGGAATTTCTGGCAAAGTGAAGTTGTGGGATTTTTTCTATTTTGTTCATTTAATGTTACTTCTCGTTTAAATTTCTAGCTATGGTGACTTATGAGAATGCACTAGTGTGTTTTCAGATTTAGGAAATCTAGGGGAAATAAATGATATTAATTACTTTATAATTGAAAATATTTTTATTTTATTTATTTTTATTTATTTATTTATTATTTGTGGTCATAGGTTAACAAAGATTAATAAGTTAATATTAATAAATGTATCACTATGTCCTGCTAGTAAAGCGTACAAATATTAGGTGTAAGTATAATCTACATAAAAATAAAAATAACTTAAATTATAATTATTGAACTCTATTCTACTTAATTATCTAAAGTTATTGTCTAAATATTCTGACATACTATAGTAAGCCTTATCTAATAAAAATACTTGCAATTTTTGCTTAAAATCATGTAAATCTATTGTCTTCAAAATTTTTATAGGTAGTTTATTAAATATTCTTGATAATATGAATGGGAAAAATATCGTAAAGTTAAATCCTTTGACAATGTGCTATGACGCTACACATGGTGGACGCTACACGTGGCGAGAGGACTAAGAGGACAGAGACTTGGGGAACTCCAGCCGTGAGAGGTCGCGGGGAGGAGCGGGTTCCCTCACTCCTCCCTCCTCGATTACATCGTAAAATTAGTTTTATTAATATCTTGGAGGGTAAAAGTATTAGGTCTATGATCGCGAAACTGAATATAGTACTGTATACTTTTTTACGTCGACGTCGTTTAATTTGTTTAATTTCCAGACATGGGGAAGATTGAATATAGATCATAGAGTAAGCAATATAGATAATAGAGTTAATTTATACAGTCTGTGGATCGTAGTGTGGCGGTGGCCATCACAGAGCGCAAGATATTTGACAGATGCTTGAATATCGCTTACGACATTTTCAAGATAAGCTCGCATATACAAGTTCCGAACAACAAAATTCGGTCCAGATCGCGGTAACCACCATGGGACAGTGGTTCCGGAAGTGGCGCATTGACATCAACCCCACGAAAAGCCCAGCGGTACTCTTCAAAAGGGGTCGACCTCCGAATACCACTTCAATCATCCCAGTCCTTAATAGGCGCGCAAACACCCCTGCCGTTAGCCCCATCACTCTCTTTGGCCGGCCCATACCGTGGACCTAGAAGGTTAAATACCTAGGCGTCACCCTCGACAGAGGGATGACATTCCGTCCCCACATCAAAACGGTACGCGACCGTGCCGTATTTATACTAGGATGACTCTACCATATGCTTTGCAAACGAAGCAAACTGCCCCTCCGTAATAAGGTAACCCTCTACAAAACTTGCATACGCCCCGTCAGACTATGCAAGCGTAGTTTTCGCTCACGCGGCCCACACCATCTTGAAACCTCTTCAGGTTATTCAATCCCGATTCGACAGGATAGTCGACAGAGCACCATGGTTCCTGAGGAACGTGGATCCCCACGATGACCTGGAGCTTGACTCTGTCAGTAAGTATCGACAGTCGGCATCCCTGCGCCACTTTGAGAAGGCGGCACGACATGAGAACCCTCTTGTCGTGGCCACTGGAAACTACATACCCGATCCTGTAGACCGAATGGTAAACAGTCGACGTCGCCCAAAGCACGTCATTACGGATCCTCCTGATCCATTAACGGTGCTTTTAGGCACCACAAGCACCGGTCACCGTCCTTGTCGAACTTGTCGCTTGCGACGAAGGGCTCGACAAGCGAATTAACCCATAGACACAGCCCATTGAGTTAACTCGCCGGATCTTCTCAGTGGGTCGCGTTTCCGATCCGGTGGTAGATTCTACGAAGCACTGCTCTTGCTAGGGTCAGTGTTAGCAACACTCCGGTTTGAGCCCCGTGAGCTCACCTACACACGTTAGGGTGAAGCTGAAATAGCCTCTGAAGGCTAACAGCATAGGTAGGAAAAAAGAAAAAGAAAAAAAACTACATTCGGACCGTCGGTCTACCGAGCAAATATCACCCGCTCGGTGGAAGATCTTCCCTCCGTCGTTAAGTATCCCAAACTGGTGACCTGCGACAGAACAACTGCAGCCTTCACACTTCATCATCAGCGCATCAAGAACTTCGGCTACCACAATTCCGGCATTCTTGCAGATAAAAACAAAGTCATCAACAGTCGTCCCACAGCAAAACAGGATCGCAGCCAACTCAGCGTGCTTCTTGGTCCTACGGCACGCATTTTCTCTGCCTCATCACGCCATTACAGTCCATCGCAGCCCACGACCGGATCTTCAACGCTTGGAGTCACACATCTCCGGCGTGGCAGCTCTGCATCACATGGACTACTCACGATACACGCACAGCATTCAAGCTCAGTCTCGACTCACCGCAGACTTCGAGCAGCACTGGCGACAATCACGCATTCAAGCTCAGTTTCGACTCATCGCAAACTTCGACCAGCACTGGCGACACTCACGCAGCATTCAAGCTCAACCTCGACTCACCGCAGGCTTCGAACAGCACTGACCCTTGCAAGCTAATCTCATCACGGACAACGCTAACTAGATAACACGACCTCCAGTCTCGGAGGGGAGTGGTGTGGTGGTAACCATCACAGAACACAAGAACAACATTCGGACCGTTGGTCTACCGAGCAAATATCACCCACTCGGTGGAAGATTTTCCCTCCGTCGTTACAACCTACAGTAGATGGACTTTGCTGACGAGGCCTTTTTATTATATTTCATCCCATATGATCTCATCTAAGTGAGATGAGATGATCATCCCAGTTGATTAATGTCTCAAATTAATAATCTTCATTTAATTTCATTTCACTCCATATTATAATTTTTCATAAAAATAAGAATATAAATTAAAATAAGCTATGACCTAAAGATCTTAGTTACCAGGTCATAAGATCCCTTAAAAAACCTATTGTAATGACTTTTGGCGGGAACGCGAGGTGTGAAGTTGTGTGATTTGTTTTATTGTGTCTATTTAGTGTTTCTTCAGGTTTAAATGTGTATTAACCGTGTTTTATTAACTGTTTAATATCTGTGAAAGTGCACAAATGTGGGAAAATGAAACAAAGACGCTGGACGTAACTTCGCGGGATCCTCAAAAAAGTCCACTTATAAAATCTCAGTAAATGTCCACCAACTTACTGAGATTAGATTTCATCCCATATCATATCATCTCATCTTATTTCATTTTATTTTATTTTATTTCACTCCATATTATCATTTTTCATAAAAATATTATAAATTAAAATAAGACATGACTTAAAGGTCTTAGTTACCATGTCATAAAATCTCAACCTATTTTAGTAGTAGGTAATTGTAAACCAAATTAAATAGAAAACAAACAAGTGACGCTTAAAAATAATTCCCATTTTCATCCTTTTCAGGTAATTTCATTCATGTAACTTTAAATATGTGTATTACATACCTATTATTTACGTTTTATCATTGATAAGATTCACAACCTATAAAGCTAAGTCAGAGACATTTTATCAACCTATATTATCGTAGCAAGCCTAAAACTGTTTTCGTAAAAAGTTATGTGAGTAGTTTTTATATAGAGGCTGGATCTCATATGCTAATTGTACGAATATAATACACTTATAATGAGTGAAACGAGTTTGCCAATCTTCATTAGCCGATTTTCAGAATAAAATCGTTTTTGTCCCAAATGTTGGCTGTAGAATATGTTACAAAAAAAAAAAAAGTTCTTAAATTACTAGTTATCCATTTTTTAGTACCATGAAGAAATACGGATCCCGCAATGCTTTATATGATAAGCTGCACAAGGGTGGTGTATTAGTTTGCATCGGATTGACATTGTATGGGACTGTTCTACTCACTGATCACTTTTACAAGTACTTCAAGTATGTGCGGCCACAGATACAAGCATCCNAAATACGGATCCCGCAATGCTTTATATGATAAGCTGCACAAGGGTGGTGTATTAGTTTGCATCGGATTGACATTGTATGGGACTGTTCTACTCACTGATCACTTTTACAAGTACTTCAAGTATGTGCGGCCACAGATACAAGCATCCAAAGCAGCTGCTGAACAAGAGCTTTTGTCAGAAGGTTCTTCAGAGAAAATTATGTAAAGGAGTATTTATGTAATATTTTAATGTTTGTTTTAATAGTGAAAATGTAAATATAGTTTTATCTTTAATGTAATTAAATCAGTGGATATTTTTAAAATATTGCATTTCAAGGAAGTTTCAATCATAACATTTATTTGTATGAAATCATAGGCTAACGTGGCCACTAGATAAATGTTACATTCTATTAGTGTCAATACTTGTAATAGAAGCATACAAATGGTTAGTGTTAGGTAAGGTCAAATGACTCCGACAATAATTAAATTCTTAATCAGCGCATTGGTCAATATATTACTATCATAATCATTATAAATGACAAAAAACTATTATTTATTTATTTCACTTAATTAACTTTGGTAAGTTCCAAAATGTTAAAAACAAATCAGGCAAAAGTTTTATTACATTTATTTACAACGAACAAACTCCATACTGTCACTAGGTATGCAAAATAAAATGAGAGATTTTTTAGTAGCAATAAAGTTCAGAATTTCTCTTATTAAACTCAATTCAAAAAATTCAAATTTCTAATGAATGTTTGAATTTTTCAAAATTGTGTTATATTAAAACTGTGGTATAATTATTCTCAATTCTTGTACCATGTAGTATCGAAATTGTTTTAAAAGTACATTGTTGCATGAGGAAGTCCCTCAATCTGTGTATAACTGTCTATCATGAGACATGTTTTATAATTGAAGTTTCAATTGCATGTTGAATGTAAATGATATGGATGGATGGATATGAATATGACATCCTACAACATAGAATTGGATTTCAGAAAACATTCTGGTATGGTTAGGAGATTGGTTATTTGATTGTTTTGTAGGAAAATAGATTAGGATACTTTGGAGTGATGTTAGACTTCCAGTATCAGTAGACCAAAAGTGTAGGCGGTTGAAAGCTGTTTTGTCTGTCAAATAGTTTGATAAATTATTGGTGTTTGCAACTTCTACCCTCAAGGGTTATATTACCAGTTAGTATTAATGGGTAGAAAATATGATGGAAATGTTGAGAATGGATACTCGTAATTTTATTTTTAGTAAACGTAGTGTAGAGGCAGATGAGCGCATAGTTCATTTGTTGGTAAGGTATTTTGAGCCAATAGACAATGAGTCCAGTGTGAACATGTACTGATATTTCCAATATAATTGCAGATTCATAACACCTCATTTAATAAAAAAGTATTATTACTTGGTATAATAGTATAGTAAAGCATCAGTGTAAACACACAGCAGTGTAAGTTTCAGTTTAAATAGAAATTCAACCCGATATTTATCAGGTTATGAAGTTTGCAAAGGCAGGCTATAAATCGAAATTTCGCATGCTCTTTCGACAGATGTCGCTACCTGTAACATGTGATAAATCGGTCAATAGTTAATACTGCTATACATATATTCTGAAAAGTAGAAATAAATAAATAAAGTAAGAAATAAATTCACTAATTGTTCGCTGAACGTATTGAATGGTCCGAGTTTATGTTTAGATATTTGCAAGTAAGCCAAACTGTTTTAACTGCATAAAAATGTATGTACACATACATCTATGTACACGTTTCCTCATGACCTATGCGAGTTCGCTCTAATCGCAGAGCACCGTATTACGTGAGGAACGTCGATCTACATGACAACCCAAATGAACTGATATGTAAGTATATAAAGGAATCGTCGGAACGCTACTTTGGAAAATCGGCGCGACACCATCCTCTTCACAATCCTCTTATCGTGACCGTCGCTAACTACTGTCGTATTGACACAGGCGACGGGGCAAGGCAAAGCGGCAGTTGTCGAAACATGTCTTGACCGATCCCACAAACCCACTCTCGGTGCGTTCTCGGTGCTTTCGACGAGCGAACTAACCAGACACAGCTCACTAACTTTCTCGCCGGATATTTTCAGTGGGTCGCGATTTCGATCCAGTAGTAGATTCAGCGAAGCGCTGTTCTTGCTAGGCCTAGTGTTGGCAATTCACTCAGGTTGACTCCGTGAGCTCATTTACCCGTCCACGAGACACAGGAATAGCCCCTTAGGTTACTATCGAATAGCTAGGGAAAAACCTCGTTTTATCAGACCCATAGATACTGAAGAATCTGACGTCGCCGAACAGTCGGCTGGTTGTCGGAATGCGAGTCGCTTATCCTTTTGTCATAACCTTTGTTTAAAATAATTATTTCCTAAAGTGTATTTTTATAGTACTGTCGCTTTGTATCTTTGAAATAGTATTATAAACTACACTCTTCTTTGTGGTTGTGCTTCTTGTACCTACGTCGTAAATAAAGTGATAGTGTTTTAAACTGTGCGGGTGGTTTAATTTTACAATACTTCATTGGTGATCTCGGCTTAATGACCTATCTTTAATAACAAATTAATTATATAAAAATATCAATATGATTTACTTTTTTAAATTTAATCCTTTTGGGAGAATAGATGAGTGTACTTTATGTATAAACAATTTAATTATACAAAAAAAAGTGAAATATATTTATAAATCGACAGTAATCTGATTTTCCAAAAATTAGTAGTCTTTTTACAGCTATGTTACAGGCGCGGTGGTAGGCTAAGAATTCATTTCAAGGGCGCCTAAAGAAGGGGTTTCTGCTTTTTTATATAGACCAGTCTAGGCATAACATTTTGCATCCCGCACTTGTATATAGGTACTACAATTGTCATACAAATCAAATTTGAAATAATGAGTAACTTACCTGGTTTTTTTCTCTTTTTCCTATATAATATAATAAGGGATTTGAAAAACCAGGAGATCTTATGGGCAAAATGAGTTGAAGTTGGAGAGCAAAACTGAAACGATATGCGTCGACCGTCCTTTATTAGTATGATCTCGAACCCGGGTAACTCATTTAAAATCCGTCTATCTAACTGTCCTCCAAGGAAGCATTTTAGTTTAAGAATCAGATGTACCGAGAGAAATTAGCGATTTTACAACGGAAATCCTTATAATATCATTCGAAGCGCAACGTTGATGTAACCAAGATGCCATGTCCTTGCTGCTCAGAATAAAGGCGTGTTTATGAATGTAGTATGAAAATATGTACGAGTATTAGGTTTTTTACTGGTGGTAGGACCTCTTGTGAGTCCGCGCGGGTAGGTACCGCCACTCTGCCTATTTCTGCCGTGAAGCAGTAATGCGTTTCGGTTTGAAGGGTGGGGCAGCCGTTGTAACTATACTTGAGACCTTAGAACTTATATCTCAAGGTGGGTGGCGCATTTACGTTGTGGATGTCTATGGGCTTCAGTAACCACTTAGTACCAGGTGGGCTGTGAGCTCGTCGACCCATCTAAGCAATATAAAAAAAGGTACCTCTAGTCATCATTAACAAATTAAAAAAAAACATACATACTCAGACGTACATAACAAAACATCCTTACAGAGAATTTAATTAATCTTTTTGCCTTTATAAATATGATACAATTATGTAATTTCAAAACTATGAACGTCCACGCAAACAAAGTTGCGGTTAAGGATATTTTAGTATTTATAAAATTATAACCTGTAAGGTATACATTATATCGTTAAATTTTAACGAGGTAATTACCAATAATATAGTTCATTAAAGTTTCACGTAAGTAATACGGGCGTACAATAACTTAGGGAAGTTAGGAATAGGCTCTAGCGATATCCTTAAGAGAAACTGTGGTTATAATAAATGGGTTGATAGGGCTGGTCACGTGCAGGTCGTCCCATTTGTGCTTCTTGTGAACACTGAAGGAAGTGCTGCAATTACCTGTGATGGATAGTCAGAGTTGGATGTGACCCTACGGGTCGTGCCATCCATATAACTTTCTTATCTACCTCTGTAAGGAAACTTTATGACATATTTACGGGAATCGAAAAATATGGACGACCCTTGACATTAAAATCCTGGTCTCGTATACGCCTACTCAGACGAATTTCTAAATTAGTACAGAATTTGTCGACTATGTGGGTAGGTTTACTTTGTATTTACGTATTTATTAAATAAGGTTGTGTAATTTAGTTCAAAAATATTAATTGATGTATACTTAATATTATAAAGAGGAAAGATTTGTTTGTTTGTTTGTATTGAACAGGCTCCGAAAATACTGAACCGATTTGAAAAATTATTTCACTGTTTTGAAGTTACACAATTCCCGTATTTACATGTAATCTTTTTTGAAAAAAATTGGTGATCCTTACTAAAACTCCAATAATGTAACCCAAGGTGTAAAAAAATTACCTAAAATATTCTTTACATCGCGTGCCCTGCGAACATATTGATGATATAATAAAATAATGTACTACGACTTTGTAGAATACATTATTATTTACAAAAAGTATCGGGACAGCATATGTCTAACTATTATAGTTATGGCGCAATAAGTGTTATTTTGTTAAAAAAATAAAACGTCAAATATCGTTGAAATTTTTGTTAAAGACCCGAGCGGAGCCGGAGCGGGCCGCTAGTATATATTAATTTAAATTAATATAAATATATAAGTATTTGGTAAGTAGGTACATTATCTATTTGATTCTAATTAACTTCATAATAATCGCGGTATTCATGCGTTAGAATTGTGGAATTGATCGAACGAGAAGTGTAGCGTTATTATAGTAGATAATAAACTATCCGAAATACTTTTTTGAGTAACCAACAAATATATCCTCCAGCTAAATGTACTTACGGACTTTCGATTTAGTTTTTGATTGTGAGAATTCGGATCACGATTTCGCCGGTGGATAGACGTGTAAAGGAGCCGTCAATCCTTGTGGGGCTAGCAATATCCGGCCAAATGTTACTCGTTGCGTGTGTTTCCGCACACTCGTCAAGGGCTGGACTCTGCCTAATGACCGTTTTAATCCAACGAATTAAAAAAATAACTTTAAGCAGTCGCAATTAATAAGTAGTCTGTACTTGAAGCTTCCGCGAACAGAATACAATTCTTGATTTATTTGCATTATGGTACTAAATCTATCGGAGGTACCTTGTAGGTTAATCCATAGCTACCTAAGCGGAGTTCATGAACGATTCCAGGTTGAGTGAGTAAGTAACACGGAGTAATAAAATCAAACTCGCAATAAATACTAAATTGCTTATTTACTGGTGGTATTGTTAGTTTTCAGTTTAAACATAGCTTTCTGCTGTGATCTCATATCTCTGGATAGCGACATTCGGGTTTTAGGAATTCTGCTACTTATTATGCAATCCCATGCTATTTCACCACACCAAACCACACCACTTCGCACCGCACCGCACCATATCATACAACATCACACCACACAAAGTTTCAATTACAATATTTTTG